TGCTTCTTTTGGGGAGAGGTAGGGGAGGGGGGAGGGAAAGAGGGTCCGCATTATCTGGGTGCTTATGTTTTTGGGCTGGCTGGCTGGCTGGTGGATGTAGGGATGGGTTGGAAGCATGTGCGTGTAGTACTACTACCGTACTTGGGGTACTGTATGTATGCGTAGATTACCTGGGATGGAACGGTCGGTGATGCTTCGGTCGAGGATGGCGCGAAGGATGCGGTGATGGGGCAGGCACGACCGACCGGCGCGAGATGGTCAGCACGGCGGTATGCATGTTGCCGCTGTGCTGTTTTTGGGGAGTTATATTTGCGCAGTGGGTGGGATTGGAAGGTGCTGTCTGTCTGCAAAGGTGCGAAGAATACGCGCATCCTGTGCACCGTACGTATACTGTACTTCGCACCGCCGCTGTACTCCAAATCCTCTATACGACGCCCTACAGTACCCTTCCTCTATACGGCAAACGCCTCCCTCCTCCGTACCTCTCCCTGCAACGCCATCCAGCTTACTACACAATTATCAACCGCCGATCCACAAGCCCAGCCATCCATCCAGCCCGGCAACAGCCACCACCCCCCTGCCCCCCGCCCCCCGCCCCACTCCACCCCTTCCTTCCCTCACTCACGCGAACAGGGATCCACGTACGCGCCTCTCCTCTCTCCCCCCCCACTGCGACCGTTTCAGGATCGTGCGACTGTGCGTGTCTTGGCGGGGAGGAAGGAAGGGAGGGTGGTGGGTGAGGTGTGCCAAGAGCGCCCCACGAGGGAGCTAGGACACGATGGGGAGGGGAGGGACGGGTTCGGAGGGTTCGGCGCTGACAGGAGAGGGAGGGATGGGCTGGGTGGACAGGATAGGATGGGGTGGACAGGGTGAGCTTGTGTGCTGGGTTGGGTAAGCGCGGGAGGGAAGGGGGTGGATAGGTGATGGGCGAGGGTGAGGTTGAGGATGAGATGGGCGAGGTGCGGCGGGCGGCGTGGCGGATGTGAAGCCTGCCTTGCCTGGTCTTGCTCGTGGGTGGTAGGGAAGGTGGTATGCGTGTGCGTGTGCGTGTGCGTGTGCGCGCGCGCGATCTTATCTTAGATCTCTGGGACGGCTGGGATATGGGTGTATGTATGTGTGGGATGGATGGTATGTATGGGATGTTGTGTGGTGCTTGAGTGCTGCTGTGCTGTGCTGTGCAGTAGTAGTACTCTATTCTACAGTACGGCGGGGGGATGGGATAGTCGGTCTGGGTCGCTGGCTGGATGGATGGCTGGCTGCTGGCTGCTGGCTGGCTGGATGGCGGTGATAACGCGATACGCACGCACGCTCGAGATGAGATGAGATAAGATGGGCCGATAGAGAACGAGCAGAATAGCTACGAAGTTAGTACAGTAGAGTAGATGCAGACACCTCCGCGGAAGTGCACACTGAAAGTAAGTACTAACTATAGTACAGCAGACTTATGATTTCCCCATCATCGGCCCATCTACCCATCCATCCATCCATCCATCCAGTCCAGTCTGGTCTCGATTCGTCTCCACTACCACCATCCATCACATCACCACTCACCTCCTCCCCTCCCTCGCAACAACTCCCACCCCAAGCAATCCAACGCGAATTTAAAAACCCGTAGTGCAGTGCACACACACACACCACACCCTGCCCAACTCCACTCCCCATCAACCGGTACATCCCTCCCTCCATCCATCCCCCCTCCCCTACCTCAACACCCGCCATCACGCAAGTAAATAAGTCCCCGGCTAATCAACCCCTCTGTTTGAGATACAGCTCCCCCCCACCCTTCCTCTCCACATTGCATCCATCTAATTGGCCCTCTTCAGAGAGAAGAACCGCGCAAGTAACTCACCTGTACCCCCGGCCCTCCTGCCTCTTCCGCCCTAGAGAACTCCCCTGTACACTACATCACCCTACCCTAGCTGTCTGTCTATCGTGTCGGTCGTTCCCTGCCTGTCCGCCGTTCCTTCCCTGTCTATCCGTCCCCCATCCGCCGATGTCCGTCCTGTCCGTCGTGAAATGCCTCGTTCGCTTGTGCTGCGTACCGCCGTGCCCGTACGTACTCGAAGGGGATGGAAGTGTGATACACAGCTTCGTACGTACAACGATGCGAATACATCTACATCTAGTACCGTAGTAGCCCAAGTCCAAGTCCATAAATTACTCTACATATACAATTACCAAACCCTCCCCTCAGCCGCGCGCCCATGTAACCCCAATATCCCCATCCATCCCCCATCCCATCCCCCTCCCCATCAAATTCCCACCAACCCCAACCCCGTCCCCCTCGCATCCGCATCGCAGAAAAAGCGCATCGCATCGTACTCGCATCGCATCGACATCTCTCCCCCCTGCTTTCCACAACCACCACCACCACCACCACCACTACCACTACTACCACCACACAGACACACACACACACCCCTCGGCGCCCCCGATGCCCGCCGACGATCGCAGAAGGGGAGGGGGGAGGGCGCGCTTACAGACCGTCCGTCCTGTCTTGCTTTGTCTCACCCTGTTGCTGTTTTTATCCAGCCAGCCTGTGATGGAGGGAGGGTTCGTGTCGCGCCGGGATAAAGCTGGGCCGACCGGGGCCCCACTTACCCACTTTCCGTCCATGTGCGTGCTACCCTACCTACTCTAGGACAGAAGAGAAGAGAGAAGAGAGGACACCTTCCGTTTCTGACCGGGGGGACCCCCTACCTTACCTATCCACCACCCACTTGCCTGCCTTCCTTGAACTTGACGATGGGTGGATGTGGATGTGCATAAGATGGAGATAGGGATGAGCGCCGCCTCCGCCGCGGCGACCGTTTTTTCCCGCCCCTTCTACTTTCACTGTTCGACCACGGCGAGGCGTGTGAGCAGGGATGGATGTGGCTATACTTAGCTAGAAACTGTGGGAATGTGCGCATCGCTGCCCTGTGGGTGTTGGCGGCGCAGGTGGGTGGGCGGTCTAGATTCGCGAGGACGCGTGGGATGGGGGATAACGTGATTGGGGGGTTTGTTGGGCGGGTGTTTTGGGCGGAGGAGAGGGAGAGAACTGCCTGAATGGGTGGCGGAGATGACTTGCCACTTTTGGAGGCGGGAGGTTGATTTTGTGCATGTGCTGTGCTGTGCTGTTGTTGTTGTTGTTGTTGTTGTTGTTGTTGTTGTTTGCGGTGAGTACTTCTTGTGGTCGTAGCTTACACACGCTGTGGCGGCGGTGAGGTCGCGATTGCGTAGTCGAGTGTGGATGGTAATGTTTCTAGCACATTTAATATATCTGAGATTGCCACACAGACCTATTGCCTCCCTCCCTTCCTCCCATCCCTTTCAGCCGCCACAGATATCGCGATCTGCGCAGAGATAGATAGACGTCACGTCACCCAGCAAATCAGAATTCACCCACCCCTCCCATCCCATCACCCATCACCCATCACCCCCAGCCGCCACTCGCAAGTTCGGCCGCTGCCAAACCAGACTCGCAAAAGCGTCTATCCGTCACACATAGCCACGGAGTAGAGTACTGTAATGTATGTATTGCACTGTACTATACAGTTGCATGCGACTGCACATAGTCGGACACCGCACCACGAATTAGCCGTGGCCTCTCCTCGGGACGCCTCCAAGCGGCTGACATGCGGGTGGCCGGGGAGAGAGGCGAGGGGATTGGTGGGATGGGGGGTGTGGGTGTAGAGGGAGGTGTGTACTGTAGAGTGAGTGTACGAGTGTGGGTGTGTGTGGGTGGGGAGAGTTGGCCTATCACGTGAAGAGAGATAGAGTGGTGGGTGTGCTGAGTACGTATGTGGTGAGTGAGGTGTGTTGGGGGCGTATGTATGAAGATGGGTGTTGATGGTGAATTGGCGGGTGGTCGGGATTGGGGGATCGGAGTTTATGGAGGTAAGGGGAGGGATGAAGGGATGACGGATGCAGGGAGGGAAGACAAGGCAAGGTAAGGTAAGGTGAGGACTGAGGGTTCTCTCTCGATACACAGAAGCAAGTAGGGAAACAGGCAAGGCAAGGTAAGGACTGAGGGTTCTCTCTCCCTGCGTGCGTGTCTGGGGGGGTGGCGTGTGCGTCTGTGTGTGCTGCGTTGTTTCCTACTGTATCTTCCTACTCACATGTACGGCGGGTGAGAGGGATGTTGCGTTGCGGGTCTTGTCTTGTCTCTGGCGTGTCTCTGGCGTGTCTTACTACGACGATGTCTTACTTCTCTGGCTCCTCCCTCCCTCGCTCGTTCCTCGTATCCCTGCCATATTTTGTCATTCCACGACCCGCTTTTTCTGGCTGTCGACGCACCCCTGTCTCTAACTACTAACCTCCCCCAAACACCCCTGTCCCCTTTGGTTCGAGTACGGGACCCACCTTTCACTCCTTGCAATCCCCTGCAATTTCGAGTACTTTGGCTGTACGGGGGGGGTGTACTGTGGGTGTACTCTGGCTGTACTCAACTCTACTCGACTCTACTCAATCTGCTCAATCTACTCTATCCACATCAACATCCCAGGCAGCATCCGCCATCCGCCGCTCCCAAGACGCGCCCGCCGGCTAGAAGAAGGGCCAGGATTAATCTCAACGGTCGACTACTGTGCGCTCTGTTGCTACTATACAGCTATACAGACAGTCCACTCTGCTACTTGACTACTCTGCTACTCTGCTACTCTGCTACTCTACTTACGGCCTCCTCTACTACTCTGCTACTACCTACTACTTCCACCTCCACCTGCTACTTCCACCCACCACCATCCACAAAAACCACAACCAACAACAGCCACCAGCCAACCCACAATCACCCTCACCCTCACCTATCCCATCCACCACACCCACACCTACCCCTACATCCACACCCACACAACCACATACACCCCCCCACACCCACACCTATCTTTGCTCCTTCCTTCCCCCCTCCCATCCCATCCCATCCCTTCCCCCACCCCTCCCCTCTCAAATTCCCAATCCCGTCTCCCCCGGTCCTTTCTCCTCTCCCCCTCCCCCCTCCCCATCCATCCTCACCCCCCCCAGTCCCTTTCCCACGCCCACCGTCCATACTTAAAGCGACCCATGTCCCCTGCTTCCCGCATGGCATGGTCGACCGTTGACAAACCCTTCCACTTCCACTACCTTACTACCTCACTACCTTACCCCCTTCCCCCTCCCACCTTCCCACACTCTTCTTTTTCTTCTCTCCACTGTCGCTCGCTCACAGTGCCACCACACACCGCCCGCCTACCAAGTTTTCACGCAAGACACGCCAGACACAGCCGAACCCGCCCGCCCAAAACAAAAAATCCTCAAGGTACCTGACGCTTCCCGCACCGCGCAGTAGTCGTGCAAGGTACTTACTCCCCCCATCCCCCCTCCCATCCCCCATCAACATCCCCTACCTTACCTTACCCTGCTGCCCACACCCACCCACCTTCCACCACCACAACTACCACCACTCAACCCCATCAACGTCAAAACGCGACAGGCATTAACTTTTTGTTACCCACAGGAGCAAGCAATCGCAACCACACGTTTTGCCACTGCCAAATATAATCAACCAAAAAGTGAAGCTATTCACAACTCTCGTTACCTATCCCACCGTCAAGTAACGCGTGCGTAACGGTCCTTTTCCACACGGCCCGATTTCACTATCTGTCGAGTCAAGCACCATCAAAACTTATCTCCACGTTTCTCACGTTACGCGACGCGACAAAGGGTAGAAAAAAAAACGCGAAAAAATCGGGGTTCATCGTTCCGCGCTACCCCAACCCCGAGTCCTTGCAACATATAGTTACTTCGAACGAGTTACTCAATAAAAGACTCGACGTTTCAGTTTGTCCCACGACCTGAACGACTCGACGCTCTCTCTTCACCCAAACATCCTGCCGACTCCACGCGCACCCTTCTCTCGTTATCAGTCTACCGCCAAGCACTCGACGAGACCTATAACCCGGCCAGACCCTTCCACACGCCCAAAAAAAAGTCCCTTGTCAAGTCGTCGACAAACACACCTCCTCCCATCGCGACAGCTACAAGTCGCACGCGCGCGCATTCCCGAATAAATAATTAAATAGTCGACGCTTCTTCTCACGACCCCCCTCTCCGCGCGCCTTGCTCCATCTCTGCAAGCGCACGACGCGAGGACTCTATCACCTGTCAATGGTTGTTTTTGCTCATTGAGAGTAATTCGCAATGGTGACTGACAAGTATTATTCACAGCAGCATCAGCCGCACCACGCGCAGGGCCCGCCGCCGCAACAACTGCCGCACCAGCGCCCCTCAAGCGTCGTGCACCAGCAGCAGCAGCCGCCCGCGCCGCAGCAGCAGCAACAACAGCACTCCGGTGCCTACCAGCCCTCCCACGGCCTGCCGCAGCAGTACGGCCAGAACGGCACCGGCCAGGTTGCCCAGCACCCGCAAGACGTGCCCTACTACACTCACGCGAGCCCATACAGCACGCCCAGCGCGACAGGCACCTATACCTCCGCAGGTGAGTTTGCGAGAGATCCCACGGCGCCGCCTGCGCAACAACAGCAGCGACTGACGAGCGCAGCGGCAGACACGCCCGACATCATCGCAGCCGCAGGCATGGCGCGCCCTCTCTACCCCCCGATCTACCACACCCCTCAATCGAACTCGCCCGCGTCCGTAGCATCACCATCGGGCCACGACCAGCACGGTCGCCAAATCTACTCCCAGCCTCCCTCGCAGATGCAGCAGCAGCAACCAATGTACTACCCACCACCACCCCAAACATACCCGCCCATGCCGCAGCAGGGTAACCCCTCGCCGTACGGTCAGCAGCAACCACAGCATCACCAGGGAATGGGCCCGCAGTCGAATCTGCTCATGTCACACCCACAGGCGCAGCACCAGATGCAGCACCCCGGCCAGCACCCACAGCAGATGACCAGCAGCCCGCGCGTCACCAAGATGGAGCACCCACCCCAACAACAACAGCAGCGCGCCGCCCCAGCACCCCCACAGGGCCAAGCACAACCCCCACACACACACCAGCACATCCCGCCTGCCACCAACGGCGCACCACCTCTCCCAGGGACCGGCGTCAACCCCTCCGCAGCTCCTGGGCCAATCCCAGCCACAACCCCTCTCGTCGTCCGCCAGGACGGCAACGGCGTCCAATGGATCGCCTTTGAGTACTCGCGGGACCGCGTCAAGATGGAGTACACCATCCGGTGCGACGTCGAGTCCGTAGCCGTCGACTCGCTTGCCCCCGAATTCAAGACCGAGAACTGTGTCTACCCCCGCGCCTGCTGCTCCAAGGACCAGTACCGTGGCAACCGCCTCGTCTACGAGAGCGAGTGCAACACTGTCGGCTGGGCCCTCGCCGAGCTGAACCCCTGCCTGAGGGGGAAGCGCGGTCTCATCCAGCGCGCCGTCGACTCGTGGCGAAACAGCAACCAGGACCCGCGCCTGCGCTCGCGCCGCGTCCGCCGCATGGCGAAGATCAACTCCCGCAAGCTCGTGCACGCGGCACCGCTCGGCCTGCCGCCGGGAGCACCACCGGGACCGCTACCGGTTCAGCAGCAACAACAGCAGCAACAGGGGAAGATGGGCGCGCAGATGCATCATCATCACCAAGCGCATGCCGATGGAGCAGCGGCGCCGAATGGCGATGACGGAAGTGGTATGTTTCACCAGATGTGATGCTTTTCTCCCCTTCACACAGCCCAAACCCCCCCTCCCTCACGTTAAAATTTGAGGATTGCGATAAAAATTCTTTGTTATGATACCACACACACACACACACACATCTTTTCGTCATACATTTGCAAATGTTTTTGTTTGGACCCCCCTCAGATTTCCGTGCTCGTGCACCACCATCATCTACTTCCCTTCTTACGCGCTGCGCTCGGCCCGATGTGGCTCATTTTTGTCTTCTCTTGTTCTTTCAAACTCTGCTTCTCTAGGGCGCCTGCGGGCTGGATTTTGTTTCATCTCAATCTGATTGATTCTGTTTGGCTTTTTTGTTCGATTCTCTCGGCTCTTACACATTTGTCTTTCTGCCGCACATCTTGTTTCCTGCTTTGTTCGTTTTTTTTTTTTTACTTGTATTCGCTGGATACCGTCTACAACGTGGCGCGCGGAACGGCGTCACTTGGTGGGGGTGGCTGGTGCTAGTGCTGGTGCTATGAGGGATATGTCAGGGCGGAATAGGATTAAGGATCTGGAAATGGAAAAGAGGGAAATTGGGAAAAGGGGAGGCGGATTTTGCTTGTATACTAGAAATTTTCCCACGGAGCCGAGCTGCTGCACTGGTCGCCCTGTTGTGCTTTGCTGCTGCTTGCCTTTTTTTGTGGCGGCGCAGACACACACATACCCGTCGCGGCGGGCGCAGAGGGGGCTGTCCTGCGCTGGCTGGCTCGTTCTGTCTATTCCATCCATCCACACCGTCTTACCTGTCGTCTCATATCGTCTGTCACGTCATCCGTCTGAACACGTTTTGAGGATTGTTGTGTAGAAATAGGCTAACGCCGTCCTGTCTCCGTAGGCCCTCCCTCCCCCAACAACGTCGTCGACGACATGTCCATGTCCATCGACCCGGCCTCCAATTACCCCCCACGGAACCCAGCATTACCGGCATCATCGACAGCAACAACGACAACAACAACCCTCCCCATCCACCCCCCCGCCACCGCTAACACCACCATCACCGCCCCCCCACCTCCCCCCTCCGAACCCCTCAACCCCTCCCTCTTTCCCCCCATCCTCCCCCCCGGCAAATCCCCCAAATACCTCCACATCCCCATCTCCACCGCCACCAAATCCCCTTCCTCCACCCCTTCCACATCCACCGCCCTCACCACCACACACGCCTCGAGCTCAGCTGGTGTGGGTGGTGCGAGTGGGACAGGCGGGGGGTTGGCGCCAAAACACAAAATCCGCGCTGACCTCGCCAGCGTCCGCGTGTCTGAGATCCCGGACAGTGTCCGTAAAGCCGCGAGCGTGTTCGTGCGCAGCTGGCGCGCGGTGTGGGAGAAGCCTGTGGGCGAGGATGGGGAGGATGAGGAGGATGTTGGGAAAGGGGTCGGTGTTAGGGTCCTTGCGTGGCCGGGGTTGAGGGCTAGTGAGGGTGCCAGGGGGGGGATGGGGATGGGGATGGAGGTTGTGATTCCGAGGATGGGGAGGGCGAGGAGGGCGAGGGAGAGGGGGCTGAATGAGTTGGCGTGGAGGTTGGCGTGGGTGGGGACGAAGAGGGTGGGGGGACGGAAGGTGCTGCTGCAGAGATGTTGTGAGTATTTTCTCTCCTTTCTTTTTCTTTACTTCTCTTTTCTTGGCCTTTCTTTTGGGAGGGGGGTTGATGGCGATGCTGGTGATGACGGAAGTGGCAAAGGCTAATGCTGGGTAGTGGATGTGTATCGCACGAAGATCCGAAAAGCGCTTGAGGTCGTGGAGGGCGGGGAGAGGTTCGAGGTGTTTGAGTTGAGGGCTGGGAAGAGGGTTTGGGGGGAGAGGATGGCGAGGGGGAGAAATGGGGGTCGGGAGGAGGAGGTTTGATGGGGGGTGCTGAGGTGTTTGCTAGTATTCTTTCGTTAGATTGTGATTTCTTGGTTGAGTTATTGGGGTCTTGGTTTCTAGCTTCCCCGTTTTTGTTTAGCTTCTGTCGGTTTCTTTGGATAGAGCGTTGGGGGGGTTTTTGGGGGCGAAGGGACGGGATGGGATGGAAGGGGATGGTGTTTTACTTCTTGGTGGGAGCATTTGTCGGATGGATTTACTTGTTTATTGGTTTTTATCTTTACTTATTCTTGGGTGAATGATCTGGAAAAAAACTTATCTCAATTCAGTTATGTATGTCAAAAATAACCCATGGTGCCTGGAACTGGATGTGATGCTTTTGAAAATTCAGGTAGAACGACGAATTGATATTGCTAACTTTTCTTAAAGCTTCCCACTCTACGTACTAAGTCGTTGGTCTTTAGCTGTCTGGTCGAGCTTCACAGCGGATCCAATGACTACTTCGGTCCCCGTAATCATCATAACTTCTATTTCTGACATTGGTGCCTGTCGTTACGAGCTGGTTCAAGTATTATAGAGTTGAGCGCCCGACCGTAGTAGGCGAATTTGTTATACAACCCCTGTTCTTCCCCGCGTCTCTCGGTGCCACACTAGAGATCGGAAGCTTCTCCCTTTATCAACTCAACGGCGCAAGAGATTCGTTGTTCTACGACTTAATAGGTAGTGTTTAACACTACAATAGATATCCCGTGTTCTCCAGCGATCCACCATGATCGAGCCGTCAGACAGATTTTGGGTGGTCGGTGAACAAGTCAAGGGAAACGTTCATACAGGTCAGGTTATCGACTGGGATCAACGCCGATGGTATACAATCGAGGGCCCAGTATCACTTATACCGCCCGATGAAAACGTCGACATTGATGTTCTGAAGTGCTACGTTGGCCAGCTTGGCCAAACCGTTCAATCTATAACAGTAGACGATAAAGGCCTTTTGGTCAAAGTTTCGTCAGACCCAGAGGATGACCGTACCTTGACTACCCACTACCCACGTTTTGCTACTGCGCCTTCCCTTCAAAACTGTCTCACCGTCCACCTATCGCAATTAACTGAAGAGGATCGACTTGGCCCAAGTGTCGACTTGGTTAGCTATGTGGACGACTCCGGCACCTCGAAGTTTGCTGTCAAGTATTACATGATCTATCAAACGAGGCACTGGATACGGAACGAACTCCATCTCACCAAAGCTCTCCCTAGGCACCCAAACATACTCCCGTTTGACCGTGTGGTTCTCTCCGACGCAGAACCCCGTATTCTTGGTTTTACAACACCATACATCCACAACGGCACCATCGAACAAAATAAAGACAGGGTCTTTAAACTAGCTTGGCTCCAGCAACTGTTAGACGTGGTAGACTACTTAAATTTCGACCTTGGAATTGCGCATCAAGACATAGCCCCGCGGAATCTCCTCGTCGATCCCAAAACCGACAACCTCCTTCTCTTCGACTTCGACCGTGCTGCTCGTATCGGCCAACCCAGCTGCTTCCCCCCGAGCGGAACGATGTCAGCGGCGTCATTTTCACTCTGTACGAAATTGTCTCGCAAGATGACCATTTCCGGCGCGTGGAACACAGAGAACAGGATCCAGACGCGGTGCTAGCCCTTGAAAGCTGGCCACTCAAGTGCAAGCTAGACTGCGAGGTTGGGGAATTCCGAAAACTGTTGGACGAGTAGGTTCGCCGTCGGAAATGTCAAGATGATGCACCTCGAAGGCATGTCGATTTCACGCCTGATTTGCCTGATGTACCACCAGCATCTCCTATCATCACAGGAAACGATGATAGTGGTGAGCCCGTCTGGGGAGATGATCTCATACAACATAGGAAAGATGCGTTGAACCGACAGAAGAGCATAATCGTATGGGAGCGGGCCCCACGGCAACTAGCGCCCATTGAATAATTTGTTTATGGCAGCCTATGCCTAACGATTTTAAAGGCATTGCATTGCTGAGTATCTGAGCTATTTGGGGTGGCCAGATAAAATCATACCATATATCGGAGAATACTGCGTGTTTAGCCCGTGGGCGTTGCCTACATAGTATAGATCGCTAACGACTTGGCCATGTCTTATTATTATCTTGTTTTGTTTCATATTCGTTTTCAACTACCCACAATGCCCACATAACATTCTAAAAGCACGACGTAACAGGCAAATAATCATAATTCTCTCATACTATAAGCGAGAAGAAAGAGTCGAAAAGAGTCCAAGGATATATGCGGGTACGTTACCACGCGCAGATTGGTTGGCCACGCAGGCCGGGACCAGGACACTACAGTACCTGCAGATGGGTAGAGTAACCTGTTCCTGAAATACGCAATTCGATCGCCCAGGTTTCTTCTCATCGTTGCGACCAAGTCTCGGGTAGTTAAAGGTTGGTGGGGCGGGCCACGCCACGATACAGCCCTGTAGGTGAGACAGTGGGGCCGATGGTTGAGTCGTCGTGCGCGCGAAGTGGATAAGGGGGTTGGTTGCTTATTTTGGAATTATGGGTACGAACGTCATTGAGGATTCTTTCCCACCCCAGACATATCTTTGATTCGGCGCTGAACTACTGTACTATTATAGCTTGCGCGTCCGAATACACGTGTTATCAACTCAAAATCGATTAGGATCTGGTGGACAATGGGGCAAGTGGGCTGGAGCATCCATTCAACGGGGGAAGCAAAGAAGACAACATCATACGCGTCCCAACTTGCGCATTATAACTCTCATCGGCATCAACAAATCAAATTCAGCTAAAAACACAAAACTTATGTACTGATCCACAGGATCGAAATTTTAGCAGCCCGCTGCGCCATCTCCTTGCCCTGCAGCCGCCTCGATCGTATCAAGAGGATTGTGCAATTTCCGCCTGCGGTGCTACTTGTCGCCATTCTCCACGCTTACTGGCTGGACTCGTCGTCGCCCTCATCGCCTCCGGCGGGGGAGCCAGTTGGAACAGGTCCATCGCCGCCGCGGGTGCGGGTGTGGTGGTGGTGGTGGTGGCCACCTCCGCCAGTGTGGGATGGGAAGCCGCCGGTTGGGACGGGACCACCGCCAGTGCCGGTAGGGATGGGGCCCCCAGTTGGGATGGGGCCTCTAGTGCCGGTTGGAAAGCCTCCGGATGGGAAGATGCCAGAAGGCAAGTCACCTGGGAAAGTTAGTTGGGTTTTAGATGGTATGGGCCGCAGTTGGCCTATGTAGTGAGAGGATTCTTACCACCGCCCTGAGGAGCGGGCGCAGCCAGTGCGACGGCGACGAACAGAGCCTGGACGAAGTATGTGATTTGCATTTTGAATTGAGTGCTGGTTTTAGAGAAGAGTGTTGTTATGAATTGGATAGTGAGGTGCGAAATGTGATTGAGCTGAAGAGACTTTGAAGATGTTGGATTGAGAGGGAGACTTTTTGGGGAACCTTGAGCTTCTTTATACCTGACTTTGGGAACCAGTGCTCCATAATTTCCTGGCCTTCCATCCATGTAAACTTATGTTTCCCCTTGGCCGATGGTCACAAGTATTCTTCCGCCATTTCGAACCATATGACAGGAGACTGATCTGGCCCTATACTTATAAGAGCTGCGCACACCTCATATATTTCTCATACATCCCAGAGAAGCTAGACATTGATCCACCTCCTTTGCCGCGCGTCGAAACCCTACAGAATTAGATTTGGTTCCCCCACGACTTATATTACTGGCCGCGCCGAACAAGGGGCCCCAGTTTAGCTAGTTTAGCCAAAATGATAAGCATTGTGGTAAAGGGGCTTAGTTCCAACGGCAGCGGGACAGCCGTCGGTAGTGGTGGAATTGTCCGGCAATTGGAGACGATGGGAAATATTAGGAACAATAGGCTTGTTAATAATTAATATTAAGATGCAATTAATCGAAAATGTCGTGCGGAGATAGAATATCGGTGAGACGTCGGGGCGGCCTGAAACCCGCGGTACAGTCGCGAATTAATGAGATCTCCAGCCACAGTCACTCATGGGGAATATTGGGGCAAAACTCGAGACCCACACAGGACAAATACGTAAGTGATCGTGCACGGGAAAATTATCAAAGAGGTGTTGAGTAGGATTCGATTTATTCGCGGTAAGGTTCTGTTGTGATCGCTATTGTTGAACGGACAATATCTTCCGTCATCCTGCCCTCATTAATACAGCCTGGGAAATTGATATGGGGCGTAGGAATGTTATGAGGCCGGTTAAAATATGGGGACTGGCGATCTATTACTTATCGTGAGGTTATGGTTTGAGAAGCAGCAATGATTTTCTCAAATCTCGGACACTCTCTCATTGTCGCCTCAGCAACACATTCTACTCCGGCCAATAATCAGTTGTCACTTCTTCTCTGTATTATATTGCCATTCAGAGCTTATTATTATAAGTTCCTGCATTGCTATGTTTTTATTTTACTTTACATGTTGTATATGGGACCGCTTCAATATTTGACCTGAAAGGTGTGTCTAGTAATCTAGCTGACAGATAGCTGCCCTCGATTACATTAGCTTTAACAAATAAACTAGTGAGTATAGTAACTTTATTATGCGTCCTACTCATAAGTCTATGTTTGATTTGACAGGTTAATATCATACTCTGTAGGCATATATTGTAGTCGCTATAGAAGCTTGACTTGATGTTATACATCTTTTGACCCGCTGCCTCGTCCAAGTCCCTCTGGATTCCATTTCCACAAATCAGGTCAAAACGAAGGTAATATTTAACCTTACTACGTGAAATATCGCCGCAAAGCACTATATTTTCGTCGCGGTTTGGAGAAGATTGGCATAGCGCGGCTCGGGAGAATCTGAGTCCGGTAGTTCCCCCTGATCTTCAATTATTGTATTATGTCGAGAAATCAACCCCGCATTAGCATGGAACTGTAGCTTGTACGATGTCTATTGTGATGCACTTGGTGCACTCTAATCCAAACATCGGCTCGCATGTTGGCAGTAAATATGTTCTGTATATGGTTGCTATTTAGCAAATGCTCTGGTTTACTCGTTTTCAACAGGCTTGCTTATATCAGGATATGACTCTGGTACTGCGCAGTCAAATAATAAAAAATGATGGAGAGAAATATAATAGACTCCTACAGTCTTCTGACTGACATTCGATGCGTTTCCTCATCTTACTTGATTGATAGACAGAGCATAATTAATGAGCCTTGCCTTGGTGCGGATGCAGGGGTTCACTTACTAAAGCTATGAGCCACAAATAAGGGTCGCAAACAGATACAAAGCCTCCGGTTCTCCTTTCAATCATGCCAAAGTAACATCCATACTTGGTGGGCTGGAAGGTCGGTGGTGGATTATTGAGTCTTGAGTTATACAAGCCTTTAAAGATCAAATCATCATAAAAATGTTGGAGCAAATAGCTCTTATAGACTCTTCTATTTCTAGTATCGTTGTCTAGTTTAAGGTTCTAGGCACTATTCTCAGTATAATGCTGTCGTTATACTTTATACTTACTCTATTTGCTGTAGCCATACGCTCCCAAGCTAACAATTGGCACATGGCGGTTCAGCACAGTGATCTTACTAAGTATGGGGGCAGTCTATTTTATTCAATTGTAATAGTCATCAAGCAAAGGGCCATCGGGCTATGCAAGTGGTGTTAACACTCGCTAAGTTACATAAAATTGCCTTTGTTCTCATTCAGCCAAGCAGCGAAATCTTGCATGTTATGGTTGGCGTTGCGGCATTCCTGTACATTACCACCATACCCTTCGTCCTCAAACCACTTGAACATGTCCCCTACAGACCCCTTTAATACAAACTTGACAGCACTCGCGATTGGGCAAGCTGCCATGGCCATAGTCTGTCCTGTAACTTCCTTGTAAATAACATTGGCCTCAGGTTGTGTCAGCTCATCGCCCACGAGCGTCAAGGCCGCATTTCTGTACTTGTCGGGCTGAAGAAAGCTCTGAGCTGCAAACCAGCCGATATCCTTTGTTGATACCATCTGGAGCTTCTTGCTGCCTAGTTGCTCCCACATACGGGCAAACCCTTTGCCGTGAAGGTCTGTGGTGAGGTTCTCAAAGAAGGTCACCGGGCGAAGGATTGTATAAGTCATTTGCTGGGGGCTCTTCTCGGCCCGTTGTTGAAGATGCTTCTCAATGGCGTGCTTTGCAGCGAAGTTTTTGACGTAGGTGGGATTATTGGGCGATCGTTCAGGACCACCACGGTCTCCAGACGAGTAAACGAAATGCTGAGCGCCATGCATAACGGCAGCATCCGCCATGGCCTTCCCTTGCTGTTCTTCGACGTCCGAGTTGATCTGGACGCTGTAGATTCCCCATACGGGCCCGGCTTTATTAAAAATGTCGTCTACATTTGCTAAGTTTCCCTCAATAACCGACACGTTAGGGTGGGCAGCGAGCTTCTGAGCTTTTCGACCCGTCGCATTGCGGGTCACCGCGACGATGTTGAAGGAATGCGCTTGAGGAGAAGCTAGGATGTTCTCAATGACAGCACCGCCTTGCTTCCCAGTCGCACCGATCACTAGCACAGTCTTCGGGGTAGTTAATTCCAACATCTTGTCTCTTATTTTTAAGTAATGATGATCTATTTAGTCAAAGAGAAGGGATGCGTGCATACAAATGTTTCCACGAGGTCAAAACGAGGGGATGAGGCAATTCCTACCTCAGTTATATCCACCCCTGTTGATCAGGATTCGCGGCCCCCTCACTAAATTACGGGCCGCGCATCCACAATGATCTAGCCAATATAGGAATCTTACGGTCTCAGGAAAGGGAATTGATTCGACTACCTATTCTACGGTAGGAATAAGCTCCAATTTGTACTATATTCGTCAGCTAATCCTTTGCAATCCCATGGCAGGTTCCGGGCTGCGGCATTATCCCCAACACCCTGCGCTATGGTCCTGGTGGTCCATCAGCTGACAGTATCGATCTCTCACTCTCTCAAGGTCTCGATTAATGTCAGCGATATCATATTTAGGCTCTCCGCCGCTGAAATCTAAACCCATGGTACGTATGTACGTAAGCTAAAAACCATCAAACTCCGCGATGCTGACACGAAAATGATGTGAGAGTGCTTCGTTTAGCCCATCTCATTAAATTCCAAAGAAGAGATGCAAGCAGAAGGAGACACATTCAATCCCTAGCAAAGAGAAGACTTTGCTCAATTCCTAGCAAGAAAAGAATCCGTCTGGTCTCTAATAACAAGGAGGGCTGGAACTTGATCTGGAAAAAATCGGGACGGCTAAAGTTAGCGGATATGGGGGACGAGGAGTGGACGAGGCAATCTGTGATTATGTAAAATTAGCAGGCAGAACTACTACAACATATGGTCGGATATATGAGCCGTAACATAAACTGTTATGGCGTCTGTTAGTTGGGCGGCCATTTGTCGACATCGCATAAGAGCGATCTCTAGCGCCTACATGTTACCTTGTGAAAGTTTAAACCACCTAAGCTTGAAGAAAAGGGCCGATACCTCAGGGTTATTTGGATTTCCTAGCGCCGTCGGGGACAGATAGAGGCCGAAGGAAGCGGGGAAAGTAAGAATTGATTGAGAGGTACGTGCAGGCAGGATGGGCCCTAACTTTTGAAACAATTGAAGGTGGGATTCTGGAACGAAAGGGTCCATGTGGGGTTAGTGAGCGGCGCCGGTTTTTGTCGGCAAGGTAAAAATAGCCTGTAATATTCCCCACATCAGGGCGCCAAACTCGCATAGTCACTAAACAATAAGGTTCACGGTGCTTCTTTTAATTGCCGACCTTTAATACTGCGTCAACTGCGCATACTGTTGTAGTATGCCAAGAACTTAGTGTTGGCCCCACGGCCGACAAACGTTGCCTTTAAGACCATAGGAATACAAACCATGTTCGAATCCAGGGCACATCAAACCTCCTAAGATTAGTACTAGGCTGAGGGGTCTGAAGACTTCAGGCCTTGGGAATGGTGCGGGATAACCTAGCAGAGCTACTCTCAACGAGTATTCGCCCCGAGGCCTATTTGGCTTATTTTAATGACATGGTATGCCATTGCCGCCTTTGTTACGTCGCAGGCATGGAAGCGATCCTGACCGATGGAGAGGATCTATTAATCTTATCCGTCAATTATGCTCGTCTCCACTGCACTGCCTGGCCGAAGTATTCCAATAGCGTGGGGCTCCCAGTTGTCACTTTTGGGGTGGCATATGCGTATTCATTGGCACATCGGGGCATTTGGCGCAGGCGTGTGCATGGGTAGCTTTATGCGCAATCCATCAAGTCTAGGTCCCAAGCTTTTTCGAGGCTTGAGATTATAGACGCCACAGATGCCGACGGGATCTCTCGCAGGGAGCTATATAAAGAACCATAGAACTACCTTCTGGTCCAGAGTAGAAATACAAGACTACCAGCAAACTCCCCGACGCTGTTGAGCTTGGCCACCGCTTAGCTAATTTTCTACAAGCATGAGAACCAAACAAGTGACCAGCCATTCTATACGACTCCTTTTATCTTCGCTATGTATCCTAGCCTATGTGGCATGCTTTGCCACTGGTAGTCCAGCCTTCCGTACCCATGAGGACCTGATGGATAGATTCAATAATACTCGAATTGAAAGTTTCGACAATAAGAATGACTTTAACCTAGTTAGTAAAGCCGATATGGTGGATCTAAGAATCTTGCCTCTTGGAGCCTCAATCACTTGGGGCCTATATTCTTCAACTGGAAACGGGTAATTCTCTCTAGAGCTTAATTCATATAGCTGCTGTCTCTTTCTCTGGCAGTTTTCACGGCTTGTAACTAACTAGGTGCCCGAATAGTTATCGGAAGCCGCTACGTGACCAATTAAGGTTAAAGGGCTGGAATGTTGACATGGTTGGAAGCAAAAACAATGGCGACATGCAAGATAATGTTAGTAATGGAAATCTTTACATTGATATACAGTGCACTAATAGTAGCCATAGGACGTTGAGGCACACTCTGGAGACATCATAGATTAGGTCAGGGTTGCTGCTGAAAATTCTTACCACTTCAATCCTAATGTTGTTACCATCAATGCGGGCACAAATGACTGCACAGGAAATATCGACATTCCAAACGCCGGTGCACGCATGAAAAATTTGATACAAACGATTCTTGGCCAACCTGGGTGGGATAGAACCACAATTATACTATCAACACTTATTCCGTCTGCAAATGGAGATACTGAAGCACCCCGTGGTAGCGTGAACGACCAGTACCGAAACCTCGTCAAAGATATGCAAGCAGACGGAGTGCGCATAGTTCTCGCTGATATGGACCCTCCAGTAGCAGGTAATGGCTGGTTAAGCTATCCTACCGACTATGGTGATCTAGTCCACCCAAATGACCAGGGTTATGCCAAAATGGCTTACGTGTGGTGGGCTGCCATCAACAAAGCTAGAAACGATGGACTTTTACAGCCACCGAACATCTCCAAAATCGATGAGGACTGCCATAAGAAACCAGGAGATGGGGTATCTGCCGGCGGCCTCACCCAGCAAGTAAACGGCCTGGATGACGGTATCTACTATCATAGTAGTGTAGGAATGGGCTCGGTCTTCGATTTCTCAAGTAATTTTGATCGAGGCCAGTGGTTCTTTGCAAAATTATTCTCAAGGGATCGGGATGATCTCGTAGGATGGGTTGACCAGCCTGATGGCACTGTCGTGTACGCCGTCTATAAAAACAATGGTGGAGGTTTCCCGCGGTTTACCAAAATTGACGACATGACCGTTCATGACAACTGTTTAATATCAGAAGTAAATTTTGTGGATATTAACGGTATGTAATAAGTTTTCCCTGCTCACTCCGAAATATAGTTATTATTAAGAGAGGTGGGTTTCGCAGCTAATATTGCACAACATAGGGGATGGACTGGACGATTTCGTTTGCATCGCAAAGGACGGGGAGGCTTTCGCTTCTATTAACAACGGCCCCTCAAGTGGAAGTTCCCCGACATTCACTTCTATAGGTTCTATCAAGATCTCTGAGCCCGGCTATGATCAGTCTAATATACGCCTTGCTGATATAGACGGCGATGGACGTGCCGATTACTGTGCCTCTAATGCGGCTGGCGACATATCCTGCTGGCGAAATGGCGGAATACGTAAGATAACACAATCTTTCTCTCCTGCACTTCTATATGAAATAAAAGGCTAACTTGTATCAACGAGAATAGAAGACAAGCCGGAATACTGGCAATAACATAGGTGACTTGAACGGTGTTCGGTTTGTGGATATAAACGGCGATGTAAGACTCTCAACTGTTGTCTGTAACAATGCAGGAAACTAATACAACGTGACTAGGGCCGAGATGACTGAATCTGGGTGGGCGACAAAGGTGAAGTTTACACCTATACAAATTCGCGAAGCTGCCAGAAAGGGGAGCTAGGCGACGGACTTAATGTTGCTTGGCGGCAGGGCTTCCTCTCTGGGAGTAGCTCTGGACCAACTCATCTCGGCATGGGCGTTGCGGGAATCCGTGATAGGATTCACTTTGCTCGCATCTACGGCGAGTTGGAGTCCTTTGGCTTGCTGGGACGCCATGACTATGTATACATGGAACACACACGAAATGGCGACAAATATGACATTCAAGTTAAGGTATGGAAGAATGCTGGATATGGATCCACGAAGTTGAAAGGTAATCAAGCCCCTTTGCCGAAGCCCAACTATCATTCTATGGCATTACTACAACACCTACTTACTTGCATCATATAGCCGACGGAAATAAATACTGTAATATGATGGGCCACTCTGGCGGCAGGGAGGATTACGTCTGGACTTTGTCAACTGGGCAAATGACAATCCATCCAAACGCTGGGTTGGGCGAGGTTGGTGATGGGCAAAGTTTTTGGGGCCCAGAGGCAACCATGTTTGACCCCGCAGTTCAGATTGCGTCCGCCCGCAGTGCATGAACTGCGGGCGGACGCAATCTGGACCGACGAGATCTGCATCTGGTCGATTGGGATGGTGATGGGTTTTGCGATATTATCTGGACAAATCCTGATGAAAACAATCAGGTGGAGGTCTGGAGAAACCTCTACGGAGAGACCCACGCCTGGAATTGGTCGTATCTCGGCAATCCAGCAACAGAACTATCTTGCGTGGAAAAGCGCGGTCTCGGCATTCACGACATACCCGTTCACTTTGCTGATGTCACGGGCAATAAGAAGGCCGACTATCTGTGTATGCAAAAGGATGGTCGTACCACTGGCTGGGTAAATGGTGACTCAGGCTGGGAGGTAATAGACCAGTTTAAGCATACCGAGGGTCTTGATAGGGCAAACTTCCAATTTGCTGATGCCGACGGAGATGGCAAGGCAGATCTAATTTGGACAGACAAATTCAACGGTGACGGGACGGTCTATTACAACGGTGGCCGCCAGGAAGTAGGAGGCTCACAGTTCCTGTGGAGTAACGAGGGCAAAGCCTTTACCGGAAATGCTGCGGGGACATGTGTTTATTACCCCGAACTCAACGGCGACAATCGAGCCGACCAGCATAATGTCCTTGGTACCTTCACCAACGAGGCTAGGACCTGGTTCAATACATGTGATGGAGGAAATGCAATGGGGGATGGCCCTTCCACTGGCACTGACCCACAGTTACCAGCAATGCCAGGATTGGACCCGGATGGGGTCTAGATTGAGTTGGCAAGCCTATGAGAAGTTTGAACTTGTACAGTGTATGGCCAGCTCGGGTGAGAAATACGATACAGTGGGCACCTATCAGGGGATAAGTAGAGTTGGTAGTGGAGCAAGCTAAATCAGCGTTGCGCCTATTCATTGCATAAAAATCATATGTGCTTTCACATAGAAGTAAAGTGGCAGAGTACAACGCCTCATTACGGATGCCCATGTCAAGGCCCTTGCGCGTGGCTTCTTTGCCTAGGGCCGTAGGTGAGACTCTACCTCATTACTCCTGAGATCACTACCGCGTTAGGCCTAATTGTGGCTTTCTCACTTCTCGTATTTATCACTTTGGGGGGCCATACACTGTATATGGCAGGGCGGTCGGATGCCTAATTATCTAGAGTCTATGGTGGCATATGAGAGACCCTCAGGTCGTACCATAACTACCGTTATTCGCAATGAAAATAGTCATTATCTAGAATTTTCCTATCATGATGGTGGTGCACGCAGTCGTTGTTGCAATCACTATTATATGATATTTCTGAGCTGACAGGCATAAATTGAACCATACTTTAAGGTAATGAGTCATTTATATGGCGAATTTAGGTGGCAGATTATGTAGTTGGCAAATATGAGAATATGTCTATGACCTGTACTCTGGCCAACCCAACAACGAAAAGCCAAACACAAAGACAAAATATTTGCAGATGACAGGCATTGAATATATACAAAAAATGGCGGCATATATGGACAGGAGAAATCGACCACAGCTCAAGATCACTATGCAGGACCACCGATAATAACGGTCAAGACCTCGGGGTTCGGGTTGTTCACCAACCCGGCCGCGCTGGGCTGTCCATCGGCCGCAACATCATCATACGCAAACGCGTATCCCAATCCATCAAGTTCGTGCTCGTGGACAAATTTGCTGTAATAGTTGGTAGGAGACACCGTATAGTAGTTCTCCGAGCTCAGACTTGGCTGCACATCTCCTCCGGGAATGAGCAAAGTCGAACGGACAAAGGCTGCACACAGCCTTGGAACAACAGCTCTGTGGATATCACCGTCGTTCTCTGCAATAGAAAATGGTCCACGGTCGCAGCCAAAGATATCAACAGGACCAGGCTTAGCGTAGCCACGGTTGTCTCCCTCGCATTTTAACTCATCGCCGACCACTCTGCAGGCAACCTTCCCGTTCGAGGTTTGAGTATCGATGGTCAGCGTGTTGGAAGTATAGTGGTCCCAGACTTGGTTGACGTAGTCGGTCCAGTAATTACTGAACGCTCCGTTATCCAGGGTGATATAATCGGCAGGTGCCATGACACGCAAAAGTTTTCCAGACGCATCTTTCACACAGAGCGCATCCCACGGCGCACCATCGATAGCCGCCTGTGCTTGCAAGGCAGAACAGACTTCCGACACAGCATTTGTGGATGTCCCCTGAACAGTCTGGACTCCGTCCCGAGACTTCAGTGAGAGACCCAGAGGCATTCCAACAAAGTCAACAAAGCTGACATCGGCATAGATACCACCGGCATTATTCGTCAATTCGACAAATCCCCAATCGCTACCGGCGCTAGGGTCGGTGGGGTTGGTTGACGACGGTTCAACAAGCCCCGCCCTGCCACCGGCGTCAACAATGTAGAACTTCAGGTCCCCCGCGGCGACCCAGATGCGACCAGACGAGATATAATCCGGGAAGGACAGAGAAGTTGCGCTTCCTTTGCCACCGAGAGGGACAGCAACGTTTTCAGTAATTAACACTGGGGTCGTAGACGTCGTGCTTGGTGGATAATAGAACGTTCCATCGGGAAGGACAAAAACGATGCCACCGCTTGAATCTTGACCGGTGATATACACGTTGATTGGAGCGGCACCATAGTTGTTTTGCAAAACCAGACCTAGCTGGGGGTTGGACGTGGACTGTCCGTCCCCTTCGGCAGCCGTCCCTCCAACGAGGATTCCATCATGTATCTCCTCCGGGATGATGATAATATCATGAGCATTTCCGGGATGAACAATGAGAGGCATGGCTAGAGATTGGCCGATAAGGCCAGCCGCAAGGGCAACCAATGCCGTAACAGAATGCATGACGGGTGTGGGTTGAAAAGGAGTGAATAGGTAGGCAGATACCTATAATAGAAAGCCCAGTTCAATGAAGGAATGGATGGATGCAATGTCTGACGAGGAGCACGAACAATATGATCTGTGGGAATATCCATCGTTTTATATATCACAACCTCATGATCAGAAAGGACGAGCGTGTCATTCTCACCCTTGCTCCCTCCTGTTACGTTCCTAAGCTAACGTACCATTGCTATAAAACGCCTGAAGCTAACAGACTGGTAACTATAACACGCAAAAGTAATTAATTGCTTGGTGAGCAAGATTATGTGCAGGCCAAGGCGAGCGGGTGGCATGAGAAGTATGAAGCTATCCAGGATGCCAATCCTAAAATATCTAGCAGGTGTCAGTAAACGCGCCTATAATAGGCGCTTCCAGGGTATTAGAGAAGCTAATTGAAAAGTTAGGTATGTGTAACGACCCACGTGCGGACTATATCTGGGGTTTGCGTATGTTATAGTTGCATTTTGACAAAGGAAGGGGGATGGTTGGGGTTCCTGCAGTAGCGCACGGTCGAGGGCCGATTAGGGTTCGGCAGTACTTTTTAAGGTGCGTTCCAACAGGCTACACAAGGGAATACTGGGGGGGAATCCTCCTCAACTCAAACCCGACAAGGCCCCTTCTCCCACGTAAGGAAGCTCTCGGCGCTACGGCGGACCGATTCGGGTGAAACATATAGCGATTCCCGAGACTAGACCATAGTTTAAATTAACGGACAGTTCCAACATCCTCATCATCGTCAATTAAGGCCGAAGGAAGGGTCAGGGCGCAGTCGGCTCTATGTTTAACTGTTAGTGCTAATTGAAGGGTCCAAGCTAGAGCAATGAGAATGCTCGAAGGATCAAACGTTACACTCCCCCGCATGCATCTAAGGGAACTCGCCAATGGGGCCAGAGGGCGGTAGTGATCTCGATAGTGGGTGTTCATCCAATATGCAGGATTGGGACACTCTATAATAACCTTTATGCGAAAGTGAAGTTGGTTGACTTGGCGGGAGCGGATTGTCGGAAAGCTTGGGGATTGGAAATGCGTGAGACAGCGGTTGTGAGTGGCCAGTCGCTTACCTAAGATCACATCTCACTGACGTTTCCCACAATCCAATGCGAACTCTCCATCTTATCTTATCACATCTTGATTACATCCCACTCTGCCCCCCACCCACGTGCTTGTCTCTTAAACTTATAAGAGTTAGACCAAGCCATCGCAAACCCAATTAGGTAAGTGTCAGCCAATCCAAAAAATTCGTTGCAAACACCCTTTTTTTCACGTCAAGAGTAGCCCTCAACCGTATAATTCATTAATCGGTGCCGAAATACAGCCAATGCCTTTGCCTCTGCTTTAATCTAGCTAACAGACAAGACATATCTGTGAACGACTTGGAGTCTTTGCGTTCACTAGGAGAGCTAGAAAGACTCGTGCGGGCCCCCTTCAGCCATCCTATACCCTATTACATTGCGCTTTTTTGAGTGTATGCAACCTCGAGACGAGCGAGCGCATTTCATTTCCAGTAGCCTCGACAGGGAAACTATTTATATTGATATTTTAGGTGGCTCGAATAGACGGGAAACGGCGTTATGGTTTCTCCTGAGATGACAAAGGAGACTGCTGGGATAGACATCAGCCCAGTTGGGAGTGCCGGGCATGATGACAGGCGGGTAGATGATGGCAGGGCAGCCAGAACCGAGGAACCTCTTCGCGATGACAGCGACAGCGACGAAACAGATACGCCCGAGAACGAGGAAATTGGCCGTGCAATCGACGAGCTCGAGAACCAGGAGAAGTCTTGGTTTGGCTATTTAAAGACGAGAGACTTTTATATCGTCTTAATTCTCGGGTATGCTAAATACCCACTGTGCCCATGGACACGCCACATCTATGACATATACTGAGTGATAATCCAGGCAAATCCTTGCATTATGCATCACAGCTACGAACACTTTCTCCACGAAGCTTGTGATGGCTGGCAACTCCATTCCGGCAATCCAAACTCTCTTCAACTACGTGCTGCTCACCTTGATCTACACGACATACACCATCTATACCTACGGTTTTAAGAAATATTTCAAGCTCCTTCTTGTCGATGGGTGGAAATACTTCATCCTGTCATTTTTTGATGTGGAGGGAAACTATTTCACCGTGCTTGCTTACCGATACACAACGCTTCTCTCGGCGCAGCTACTAAACTTCTGGTCTATCGTCTGTGTGGTCATCTTGTCTTTCTGTTTCCTCAAAGTACGCTACAAGTGGGCCCAGATTGCTGGTATCCTCGTATGCTGCGGCGGCATGGGTTTACTACTTGCATCTGATCATCTCCAAGGTACCAATGGTGGTCAAGGTGTAGATCAGCTCAAAGGAGATCTATTTGGCTTGCTGGGCGCCACATTATATGGTTTAAGCAATGTCTTCGAAGAGTGGTTCGTCAGTCGGCGTCCAATGTATGAGGTACTGGGAATGCTCGGCATTTTTGGTATTCTGATAAATGGCGTCCAAGCGGCGATCTTTGACCGAACATCCTTCCACGATGCAACCTGGAATGGTGCCGTGGCGGGATATCTGGTTGGATACACGTTGGCTCTCTCGATATTCTATTCGTTGGCGCCTATCATCCTCCGAATGGCAAGTGCGGCGTTTTTCGACATCTCGCTGCTCACCGGAAATTTCTGGGGCACGATTATCGGCATTCATGTTTTCGGATACACGATACACTTTCTGTACCCAATCGCATTTGTGCTTATTATCATTGGTCTGATGGTCTACTTCCTTGCCGGGTCTATGTTGGGAGACAGCAAGAAGCCGTGGCTCGGAAAGAACCAAGAGCTCGGAGTCGAAGGTCTGGGTACCGCAAAGCGAAAGGCAGTAAAGCGCGTTATCCGCGAGCGACAACCCGGACAGCAGGCATGATGTAATTGGAGAAGATCACATCATCGGATGGGCCTGGAGATCGGTTTCGGAATTGAAGTGTTTCTTGGGTGATTGGGTGGAATACACGGGGCCGTTTATAACTGTTTATTTTACATCAACTATGTATTGAACTTAATGGGCTACACTCGTCCCATGTATCTAGCCTCCAATATATATTGAAACGATGCTATCAGGCTCGTGTTAATAATTAATTTCATTACAGATGATTTATTTACATACATTGATTGATGAGTGGCTTGCTCGAGAATGGATCAATAGACAGAAATAGGTTATCTAACCATAAAGATATTCGATGTTCCTAGAAAGAGATGTCCCCAGGGTGCTGGTTCAAGTGTATAATATCTACTACTACTCGTATAGGGGGGGACTAGCTCCCCCAAACCCATCTTCACATCAAGCTAATTAAACCTGAAAGATCCATCTCACATCATCGTCGTTCTCAATCGGACTCTCATCCACCACCGCCGACCTCTCCGACTCCAGCTTCCTCCTGTTTTCCCGCGCAAGTACGGCCCAGATCGTCAGCACCACCAGAATATTCGCCAGCAAATACCCTGCCGCAAACCCATGCCCAAGGTAGTATCGCGGCTTGGTGCTCGGTCGATACAGCTGGGTCCCAAGCACTGCCCCCAAGTTCCCGATCGAAATCTGCATCGCATTGGCCGTTGCACGCTTCGTCTGCCCTGAGACATTGTTCGCAGGCCAGGCGAGAACAATTCCGGTTGCGGGGTAGATACCAGCGGCAGCGAATATAGTGCCAACGTAGCTGACCCCTGGTTTGTTGGAGGGAGCGGAGAGAAGGATGATGTACCCAATAATAGCAACGATAGAGGACCCGATAATAAACGGAGCACGACGCTTGGCCTTCTCGGATGCGACTGCGACGAGGACAGTAAGGACAGTGGCGACGGCATACGGTGGGACCGACATTAGTTGTGCCTGCGCAGCTGTGTAGCCGAGTGCTTTGATGATGGTTGGGAGGAATAGTGAGAGTGTATAGAGTGGCAGACTAAGAGTGTGGAAGGCGAGGCCGTACAGCCAGCACTTTGGATCTTTGACCGCACGGAGCACAGATGGCCAGGAGAATGGCTCATGGTTGGTTGCATCGTTATCAGCCTTCAAGCGGGCCTGGACGAATTCCCGCTCAGGCTCGGTGAGAAACTTGGCGGTTTTGGGATAGTTATGGATGAACCCATAAGCGGCAAAGGCAACGACAACAGTTAGGATGCCCTCCTGTAGAATATTAGTGCTCTGCATTTACGTTCGGGGCCAACAGGAGCAGTATCTTACCAAAATGAAGATCCAGCTCCATCCATTCAACCCAGCAATTCCTCTCATGTGAGCAATCCCAAATGCCAAAATCCCGCCAAAGGCCCCTGCTAGACTTGCTGCTGAAAAAAAGAGGGCCACGCGGTATGTCGTTTCTGAGCGCTTATACCACATGGATAAATAAAATACCACACCAGGAAACAATCCACTCTCCGTGGCCCCGAGGAAAAAGCGTGCAACGAGGAATCCATTAAAATTCTTGCAGACACCCAGGAGAGTCGCGACAATCCCCCACGCTACCATGGTAGTCGGCAGCCAAAACTGTGGCGTCGTCTTTTTAAGAACTATGTTGGCCGGCACTTCGAAGATGACATATCCGATGAAGTAGATGGTGAGCGTGCTCAGGTATTGGGTATCGGTAAAGTTCATGTCTGCTGCAAGGCCTTCAAGTTTCGCATTCCCGACTGGTGGTCTTGTTAGAACCTCCCTATGGATAGACTCGGAGAACGGGTATCATACCATTGCTTCGATCAAGGAAGGAGAGAAGATACAACAGCGTCAACGGCGGAAGGAGCTTGTAATCAAGCTTTCGTAGGATTGCTTTCTCACTGATTTCTTCTCCATCGGATATGGATGATGATGAAGTAGTGAGGGGCGGGCTGGGTTTTTCCAAGACTTCAAGCTTCTCTTTCTCATTTTCCAACGCTACCTTCTCGTCGGAGATGAGGCCGCCGTCCACGATTTGGGATGCCATCGATATGATCCACGCCTGTGGTGCTGGCTCACAAGAACTCTACTTTGCCCAGTATAGTTTGAGGTCTCGATAATGTGAGAACTCAGGGTTTGATATGAGGAATTGATGCAAAGAATGGCATCAACACGTACTCTGGGCTCCGAACAGCAACTTAGAGCTTCAAAATAATAAAGAAAAAAAAATATATTGGGAAACGGACAGCTTTAACAAGCGGTGCATAGATGTGGGGTAGTTACATGGACTGCATATGTCCCAGCTTCACCCCACGTTATCGTCGTGGCCCCGCTGTCCCAGTGTTTCAACAATGGTGGTGACATGTCTAGTAGTTGCCTATTCGCCCAGCTCTCAGTTGTAAAGTGCGGGACTATCATGACGATAGTCATTTACCATCTCACGCCATCGCTACTCATCTCCCCCCTGTCCCATCTAGAACACATCGACAAGCCACCGAGATGGATGGGAACGAACCCGAACGCCGCGGTTACCAGATAATAAGAGCTCATTGCGCGGATGAAAGGGGGGTGCAGCGCCACAATAATACAGCGGCAATCAGTACTTGTATGTATGTGCCTAGTATCGAGCAAAATGCATCTTTTATTATCGTGGGAAGGTGCTTACTACAGTATAGTATGATACTATAATATGAGTGCAGTGGAGAAGGAGGTTGCGAGTTGCATGATGCAGCACAGTTGCGGCAAGTGCGATGATGTTCATTCTGGGTGGGTCTGTGATAGGGGATTGTCGTTGGTCGCTTGCCGCATTTCGCGATTGCGCCGTTCCTGGGTGAGATGTCGTGATGGGATGCAGCAGACCATTTTACAGCATAAAACCTCACAACTGAGGTATCACCGTCTGTTTCTATTGCTTTTGGTAATTGGAACGGCAGTTGCTTGGTGTGGGGGTTAGTATATGCCGTAAGATGTAATCTTTCGTTCCATTTTATTTTATTATTTATTATTTATTACATTGTTTTTCAAATGAGAAATATTTATTCCGATATTATAGAACCATATGAGCACCCCTAGTTGAACTATATAAACACCTTGACCTGCCACTCCTAACATTCCTCAGGCGCAGTGTACCAGTTTATCTCGATAAGTCATATTGGCCCTTCCTGTGCGGCCATCTTCATTAAACATGTAAAGTCATCTATATTACAGCACAAAGCCTGTGCTCCATCATATGGATCACTGCCACTGGAATGTGATCAATCTGTGAAGCAGCACCATATATCTGGTGGGCTTTTGGCTGCGTAGGCTTTTTCCTTATTCCTTTTTCCTTTTCCTCTCGTTTGTTAGAAGTTCCCTTCTAATGCTACCTCTTCACTCTGCTAGCGACATCCTATCCCCTTTCACCTTCAACTGTCATTTGTACGGCGATGCTAATTGATCTTTAGCATCATTGCGGAAAACGCGGAAACAAACTCAGGGCATGGGGTGGAAGTTAAGTCAGAGTTCAGCACGAGACAAACTTCACACGAATACTTGAGTCTGCACCACATTCTCGGCTTCTTTGTCGAGAGTTTATAGAATTCTCGGGATTGTACGACCCAATACGGAGCAAAAATACAATTACGGAGTTATCTAGGACTACCACCTCAGGCTCACTGATGACGCTTCTTACCCCAAGTTTATTCCCGGGATACTGGATGTGGGCCTCTGCCGTACCCCGCACCCCGCACCCCTCATCTCAGTACGAGAAAGCCTTTTGATGGGAGTCGTTTCTCGATCCCGTTCATACGCCCCCTCTGATATATTCTGGCTAAATATAATGATGGTTCGCACCGTCGACACCATATATTTGTCATACTTACCGTAGACTTCCAATCCCATGGCTGTGGCATTTGTAATGCCCCCTCTCGCATCGGACGTATGAAGGCGCTTTTAGTTCGTTGATAATATTCAGGCTAAATAACTCGCCTCGGGTTATACTAGCGCCATGAAGACATGAATGGCTGGGTCAAGATGTGGTTTCTGGCCCTGTGGTATATATAGGTCTTATTGGCTTAATACTTGTGTTCAACTTCACCGCTGGCATCGTTGATCAGTAGAATAGAATTGGACTCACTCAAACCGAAACCAAACAAACACAAGAACAATATGGACCGCGAATACAAGCATCTTACCAAGGAGCAAGTGGAGAACTTTATGAAATATGGCTTCCTCCGCCTGGAAAACTGCTTCTCCGTTGAGAAAGCTCAGGACTGGACCGAGACCGTATGGCAGCGACTCGGCATGGATCCAAACGACAAGTCAACCTGGACTACCGAACGCATCAACATGCCCATGCATAGGACAGAAGGCGTCCAAACTTTTGCACCTAAGGCATGGAATGCTATGTGTGAGCTACTGGGTGGGGAAGACCGAATTGCGGAGGGGTCCGCAGATTGGGGCGATGGCCTTATTGTTAACCTAGGCACACCCGAGTGGGAGGGGAAGTTCCCCCATCCCAAGGAGCTCGATGGCTGGCATGTCGACGGTGATTTCTTCGTGCATTACCTGGATTCCAAAGAACAGGGGCTGCTTGTCATTCCTCTCTTCACGGACATCAAGGATAACGGCGGTGGAACTATGATATGTCCCGATGCGATTCCTCTGATCGCAAACCACTTGGTAAGGATTGATTTTCATTTGCAGGCCGGCTCAGAAGGCTGATCGCATGTCCAGTACACTCATCCTGATGGAGTTTCACCTCGAATGGTACCCCGAGGCGAGGAGCCAAAACATAATGACCTTGGCTGGTATTCCGAAGTTGTGAATCAGTGCGACGATTTCCGCGAGATGACTGGGTCGATTGGTGACGTGGTACTGATGCATCCACTTATGGTGCACTCGGCATCGCGGAACAGTTTACGCATACCGCGTATGATTACGAATCCCCCAGTTTCGCTGAAGGAGCACTTCAACTTTGACAGGGAAAATCCCAAGGATTACAGCCTGGTTGAGCTGAAGACCCTGCGATCCCTTGGGAAGGATAAACTGGAAGGATGGAAAGCTACGGGTCCCAGGGAAGCAGTTATTCCAGAGCGTCTGAAGAATCAAGAGAGAATGAAGAAACTTGAACTGGAGAGACTGAAGCAGAACCCACAGGCCGTTACCGTGTAGTATTTAGTTACCTTGCACCAACTAGATAGGATGGCTTGAAAAGGGTTAATTAATTGTTATACATATTACTCCAAGAGGCTGCGAAACACGTTGATATATTATTTAATCGGCCTGATGCTAAGAGCTCGGCGGTTCAAATAGTAAGCAACTGAGATATATCTATAATCAGAGCCATTTTCATTTAATTCCTAGCTAAGCCTGATAACAACTATCTCTCCCTACGCTGTTATCGAGTAGATCCTATAGTATGAAGCCTCACACTTCTTATAAGTTACTTGTTGCTTTAATTTTCAGCATCTTTGCAACACTGTTTCTTGTAACCGGTGAGGCAGCACCGCCCATCGCCGCAATGGCTTATACTCTGTTGATTATAGCCTGTTGGACAACTGCTAGGGGCACAAAACGGAGCATACCCCTCCCAGAAACAATCAGGGGCATGCTTTTTTGTCACAGTGCGAGCATCTATATCGTATAGTTAGTAACTGCTTGTAAATACACATGCTGACAACATACCAATTGCGCAAGCTGATGCCAGGGATAAAAGTACAGAAATAGAGAGGATGTTGAAACGCATAGTGGTGCTGGTTATTGTTGTGAATGATATGGCAGCTTGGGAATTTTTTTAAGAAGACGCTTGTGAGAATGGCATAGTAGCTTCAATAGTTTTCGAGCAGAGTGACCATAATCAGACTTTCTTATACACGCCCAAATTTGTAGCGGCTACATCCAACTTGTGTCTTTCCGGCGTCGTTTAAGTCTGCAAATTAGTAATTTAAATTCAGCTTGCTACTCCATAGTGTTTAAGTTCACAAGTGAAAAATCCTTGATGGTCAACCGCGTGTTGCACAATTTCTGGACGTTTTAGGTCGATTACCCTGGGCAATAGCTCATTTAATAAATACGCCTTGCTACTACGATACTGAGGATTTCCCTGCGTCCAGTTAGGGCGACGGTCATTATGAGACATAGTGCTGGTTATATGTTTCACTCGTAGCAGCTGAAATCTCGGAATAGTGGCCATCTCAGGCCTTGGTAATACTAATTACTAAGTAAGACTCTGTTCCGCCTTCAGCTGGCCATCAAGCTTATCGTAGCTAACCTAATACACTTAAAACGCGTGAAACTTATTTTCTGGCGATTACGTCCAGGCATTTGTGTTTCTGTCCCTCCGATGATTTCTTGTGTGGATATTGATAAAGCTTGTAAATGGACAATCATTGATGTAGAGTGAAACGGCTAGTTAATTTATAATCGTGTGTAACAGCGCCGTTGGGGTTTAAACTGCTTGTGTCGATGCTAGGTGCTCTGCGACTGGCATAATCATACACAAAAACGGTGCAACAAGCAATGGTATGAGAAACTTTCCGTTTCAAACGTTGATCCAAAAGAGATACTGTTTAAAATGATTGTTTAACATTGTTTCAAATGGACTTCAATATCCAAACGCCCCTCTATAATCCTTTATAACCCCGACTAAAAATACGTAAAAAACGGCTCCAATTCGCTGAACCCCTTACTCGCTTGTGGAGGGGCTCTCTGTGGCCGCGACAGACTTCCTCGAACTCATAGCTGGCAAGTAAATTGCAGGGTGGAAAACAGTCATAGCCAGGGTTGCAATGGCAATCATTCTTTGTGGATGTTAGTAAGATGTATCAAATGTTGGAAGCTATTTAACTTACGCTCCGTCCAGAATCAAAAACTCGAGTTCGTTCTGCATCAGTGGGTTTCCCCAGCCGCCAGACATTTCAGGGAGACTAGAATTCGTTAGCCGCCTGGAATAATGATTGTCGACAAGAGATGCACTCACCGATAGACACAACGAGTCAAGATAGTGATGTATGCGACAGAAATAGCGACGCAGAACATCCTCAGCTTGCGCCTCTCGCCTGGATTGTACTCGTTCTTCTCTGTGGTTGGAGTCCCGATCCTCTTCGCCTTCTTATATCGGAAAACATACGTCGCAACAAGAAGCCCGCAAACAGCCATAGTGGCCACCTGGAAGGAAATTCCAGCAACGATCAACCCGTTACCGGTATCCAGCAGCTTCTTGTTGCGCGTGTCACCCGCGCTCGCTGCCACGCCGCCACCAATGGCCTGGAGGACGATCGATCCCAGATCACAGCCGACGAAGATCCATGGATAGAGGCGAGCCTTGAGAAGCGAGTGTTCCGGTCCGAAGTGTAGGACAAGGTGCTTCATCGTCAAGTAGACACATGCCGCGAGGAATGATGGTGCCAAAATAATGCAGCAGATCTGCATCTTGAACCCCGCGGAGTCCCACGGATTTTTATGCATCATCACTCTCCCCACATACCCCAACATCTCCAATCCCGACCCGATTCCCAGGGCCAGCGCGAAAGTCCATGTCTTCCCGCGAATGCCGATGGCGAGGCCGGCAATGAACAGCGCGCCGAAGAATGCGGTGAAGAAGACGTTACCCCCGAAGTTCGGATAGTACCCGTAGGTGGTCGCGGAGACCGGACATAGGTCCGACACCTCCGTGCAGATCTTGTAGGACATCTCGACAACAAGAACAACAACGTTGGGACCTGTCCGCGCGATCGATACAGATATGTCGAAATCAACTTTGAAAAGAAAGAAAGGAAAACACGTCAGAGAGAACGAAGGTAAGGGATGTCAACCAAATAGAAACGAGATAACGGAGCTGTCAGCACCATGTCGGACATCGGAACTTAAAAGGTCGGTTAGAAATCCATCGTACATCGTTTTCGCACCATCCCCACCAAGCCCAGCCCCAAAGCCAAGGCATGTAGGGGCTTTACTGGGGTCTCTTCGATAAAAGGCAAGGCCCCCACGTGTCGTATCTCGTTCCTCGTACTCGCGTCGTGTCTTGGGACGCTATTCGTCGAGGAAGAAGACTGCTCCAGACTAAAGAGTTTAGGCGCGCGGCGCTTGGCCAAAGAAACGGTGATGCCAAGAGTCTAAAAGGCGGATGCTGCCTGTTCCGAATCTGGATCCACCAAAAATGAAGAGGAAATCCACCCATCCACTCAGAGTTTGAACCCAACGCAAGCGAGGTACGAGCTAGCCAATGTGCTTTCTCTGGGTGCGGAAGCGAGGAGGATGATGGGATGGGACCCACGCCACAATTTCGCTGACGTTGTTGACGTTATTGACGTTATTGACGTTGTTGCTCTGTCTGTTCTGTCACCACCGAATTCTCCGCGTCACCCGGCTGGGTCGGGAGTTTGAGTGACGATGCGCTCATTGTGTGTTCGATGTTCGCAATATGCAATATAAGCCAAAGGGTCGTCCCATCTAGGTGTATCTCAACAGTGCGTCGTCTCAAGCAGGAAGTACTGAGTCCTGTGAAACGAAACATGCGCTGTCCCTCGTAAACTCTAGGAGTGCTTGCCAGTGTAGCATCATTCCTAGGGATAGACATATACCGTAGTGTTTCTTTTGATACAGGCATGTTGAGCTGGCACTGTAATCCCGTGTGACGCTGTTCACCAGCCGAGACAATTGATTCATCTGGCTCCCACATTGCTCAAACGCCACACTGATCGCCCGCCACACGAAGATCCGGACTCGCGTGGCCGCCCGATCTTGCTGATCGCAATCATTTCATTGGTATTGCGGTTTCAAGTTCATATCGTGATCATGAACTCGGAACCAAGCCGCAAGTATGTGCTCCAGGCACGAGTGTAACTGTCCGGGCCATTACTATCCCAACAAGAGTGATGCCAATGGGCAACATCTTTGTTATTCTGGCGTGAGGATCATGTCTCCAGCGGAACTATGTCCAAGTCTCTGGGGAAGCATACATGTGTTATAGATGTTTTGAGAAGTAATCTCCAATTAATGGGTGTTCAAGATGCTGAAAAGGTGATTGAGCTTTCAGCGATTCTTATCGGCGAAAGTCAGATAAGACATAATAGTAGTCATGGCAGGTGTGATGGGATACGTGTACCGTTATACTTAATTTTGTATGCGGAGGTACTTCAGTTCCCATAACTTCAAATTGTCAAGTCCCAGAACATCGACATCGACCCGACCGTATGGCCGAACAACACGCTTTATTACTTTAATATATATATTGCGAAACAAATGCCGTTTTCTTTATATTTATACTTGCGTACTAGAATTAAATCGCCGTAAATAATTTTCTTTTTCTTTTTCAATTTATTTTATTTTATTCCAAGTACCTTTACATATAACCCACAGTGTGAAGACACATGCCTTCTATTCCCCTTCGGCTTTCATTCGTGGCACATAGTAAACAAAGGCCTACGCACATACCTGGCAAGCATGCAATGGGTCAGACAGTATGCTTACTTTGTACAACGAGGCTTGAATGTCTTAAACTCCGTCGCACTGCTTTAGAGCGTAACAGTCGGTTATATGACCGTTATGGCAGTTCTCAGCTTGCAACTTTCAAACGGTTTATTCATTTCCAGACTGCCGGCCATCAGTCTTACTGCACAGCGGCACCATAACAACAGCCTCGTATTAAAAGGCCAGTAGGATTGAGGGGGCAGTCTATTTATATATATATATAAAATAGGGGGTACGCGGCCCTTCAGAGCAAGAAATGAAAGGGAAGGGGTTTCAGTGTCGGATTTGCGAGGTGCGGATATCCGGCGATTATCACTCCTCGATATCACTCTACTCCACACGTGCAATAGCCTGTCCAGACGGGGCAATAGGAGGGGCAATAGCCTATCAAAACGGCGATTGAACCCTTCTTCATGGCTTGAGTCAGCAATAGCCTACCCAAAACAGCAATTGAACTCTTCCTTATTTATGGCTAGTGTATACTGCATTGAGCTGATTCCATAATCTATACTCCATCCTTCACGCTCGAGTCGTCACTTGCGATGCGGGGTAAACGGCTATCCCCACGGCTAACGGCCCGTGGTGTTTTAAGCTGCTCCGTGCGTTCGGTTGTCCCTTCACATGCCCACACAAATGCCCTTGCAAACTGACGCAACGACAATCGATCAGGGGCATCTGCAGCGCCTCTAAGCTCGCTGTCTTGGCGAGCGAGGTCTTTTGGCGCGATATTAGTACCCGAGGCATTCATGACAAGGTAACGCTGACAACTACGCGTTACAAGACGACGTATCAGGTAGTATATTTCCTATCTGTCCCTGGATCTTAAAAAGTCCTGGTCGCCCTTTTCCAACAAAAGCGCTGTGAACCAGGCTCCAAGCTAAGTTTCTCTCGAACATACGGATTATCCCATCATGGCGCCTGCTCGATCCTCAACTGAGGGCAAGAAGGACCGTCTGCGTGTGATTATTGCGGGAGGATCGATTTCAGGATTAGTGCTGGCGCACTCTCTTTATTGCAGCGACATTGACTACGTGGTTCTAGAGTCTCGCGACGAGATTGCGCCGCAAGTTGGCGCATCAATTGTCGTCCTTCCCAACGGTTCCAGGATCCTCGACCAGCTGGGCATCTTTGACGATGTGTTCGGCATGGTAGAGCCGCTGGAGAACACCTTGACATGGACGGGAGGTGACGGGAAGCTGATTGTGGACAGCAATTCGCCTCGTCTACTAAAAAACAGGTGAGTTTTTGGCTGAGGCGCGAATTGAACTGCAGTTTCTGTAAATGGTGTTGTTATCCATTGGACATAGGATCTCAAATATATACGCACCTTTCCTACTTGGAATAGTATGCTGATAGTAACTTAGAACGGGATACCCAGTCTCATTCCTCCAGCGCCGCGATTTATTGAAGGTTCTCTACGCCCACACTCCGGACAAGTCAAAGATTCACACATCCAAACGAGTATGCAAGGTCGACCACCAAGATTCCCGAGTTGTCGTGCACTGCCAGGACGGATCCAAGTACTTTGGGGATATTGTTGTTGGAGCGGATGGAGTACACAGCACCGTGAGAACTCTGATGCAGCAGCACATTGAGTTGTCGAGTCCCGGCGCCACAAAGAAAGACAGCAATAGTATCTCTGCGGAGTATAGTTGCATTTTCGGGCTTGGTAATGCTATTCAAGGAGTACTCCACCCTGGAGACTCACACAGATCATACACCAAAGGATATTCAACCCTGTCCTTCGTAGGACGAGGTGGATCTATGTACTTCTTCTTCTTTTCAAGGCTCGACAGAAGATATCACGGGAAGGATATACCTAGGTACTCGAAGGCCGATATGGACGAGGCTGTAAAGCCCTTCCTTGATATCTATATGACCGACGCCATCAAATTCAGACAGGTGTGGGAGAAGCGCACATTCGCAAACATGAGCCCCCTTGAAGAATCTGAGAACCAACATTGGATTTCGGACAGATTCGTGTGCTTGGGAGATTCAATACACAAGGTATACTTACAGAGTCTGAAATGATGTTAGCTTACATAATTGACACATAACAGATGACCCCCAACTTGGGAGCTGGCGGTAATGCAGCTATCGAGAGTGCCGCAGCACTTGCCAACAGCATCTCAAAGCTCAAGAGCACAAGCCCATCGACGGATGAGGTTCGAACGGTATTGAAAGAATTTTACGCGAAGCGCCACGAACGCGCAAACGCCACCATTAAATCGGCCAATGATTTAACCCGAATCGAAGCATTGGCAACACTGACTGATAAAATAATGGCGATTCATGCTATACCTGCTTTGGGCGACTTCTTGGCCGACGTTACCTGCGATTCGATGGTTGGAGCAGAGATGCTGGATAGCCTACCTCCACCAGCTAGGTCCCTGGAAGCGACAATGCCCTGGGATCCTGAGTCTGGCATTGGAAAGCATGAAAGCAAATTGGTCCGAGCGCTCTATGCTCTTCCCCTTCTGGCCATCTTATATGGTTGTGCGAATACCATGGGCCCGGCATTGGGCCCCGGCCTTCCATTGCTCGAGAACGCGGCCAGAGCTGGCGAGGTAGCTCTGGGCGACGGAAGAGTGGTGCCTTTGGTCACCCGCTACTTCGGTCACAAGGGTTTTGATGACTTCATTGCCATCTATGTCGCGGCCTTTACTCCATCAATTGGCGGACAGGACCCGGCCAGCCGAATGCAAATGATATCACTACTGGGAGACTTAATTCCCATCCAGGCCATATGGATGATAGAGGGTGTTAGGCGCGGCAACTTCCTCACAGCATCCCACCTATTGTAAGTGCAAATATCTCCCACAAATGACCAATAACTCACCCCGAATAGGCCAACTATTTTTGGAATCTTTTTCCAACTCCAAGGTATTGGTTACATGGCGCCAATTTACTTCTTCCTGCACTACGTCCAGTCTCCGATGGAGAACTACCACGCATCGGACAACCGACTCACCCAAATCGGCGCCGTCAAGACCATCATCCCCACCATCCTCCTATCGTACGTCGCCCCCACCGTCGCCATGTTCGCAGCCCCAACCCTCGCCACCCGCCAATGGGTCAACGGCCTGTTCTGGCAGCCATTCCCCGTTTACGCTGCCATCCTCCAACGCGTCTTTGGAATGTTCGTCAAGGACACTACCTACAGAGATCGCATCGACAACCCCGAGGCAGATATGCCGCACCTCCGCCGGGTTTACCGCTTCGCTGGAGTTGCCGCAGCCTGCGCGTTCTTATACGTCCGCTTTAAGTCACCCGTGTCGGCGACGGAAGTGTTCCTCGAGGGCATCAGGAATCCAGGGGCAGCCGTGCCGCTGTTCCAGAGACTTTCCAAGACTTTCAGGTACGATCAGATCTGTGCATTTGGTGCCGGGGCTGTCTTTACGCTACTGAGCTTCCGTGACCTGAAAAAGGCGAAGAAGGTGGAGGCGGGATGGGCAAAGATTATTGGGACAATGGCTGGTTTGTCACTTCTCGTTGGCCCAGGAGCTGCGATGACAGCCATGTGGGCTTGGCGAGAGGAAGCACTGGCCAAGAAAAAGGTTCCCGTGGTCAAAGATAATTAGGGGAAAGCATGTATTTTTAGTTAGCTGGCACAGTTTAAACCGTGTGATTGAGGAATATTACTATTAAGACGAGAGGTTTCTGTGAACCTGTAAAAAAACGCTTGTCACAGGTTTAAACCGTGTGATTGAGGAATATTACTATTAAGACAAGAGGTTACTGTGAACCTGTAAAAAACACTGTCACGCATAGTCCCCTGCGGCCTCCAACAACAACTAGTTTCTGGTGGGGCGTTGATTGCCGTGGTCCATCATTTGGTGCTGCTGCTGTATAAGAAGCTGGTCCTGATGGTACATCTGTTGGCCATGATGCTTCCTACCAAGGAGGAGATTCTCAAACGTATTGATACGATCAATGAGAGACAACTTCTCAGCGTGGAGGGATTTGTTGCGGCGCTCAAGATGGCCGATATATTCCGTGGCTTTGGAAAGGATCGTAGCCTGTGCTTGTGTTAGGTCAATGCAGTTTATGAAACGAAAGGAAGCGCACCTTGTTCAGCTTGTTCGGTGGGATCAGCCCATCCAAGTCCTCCATGACATCGGCCAAATTCTTGGCTCCTTTCCCACCCAGGGTCTTTTCCGTGGCTCTGAGACTCGGGACGCTCTGTCTCAAGGCGGCGATTTTGTCATTGAGGTTTGTTCGATAACGCTTCTCAATCATGTTGTGGGCCGTCTTCTTCATTGGTGGCTTCGGTGGCGACTCAGGCGTCCCATCTTCCTCCTCGTCTTCATCAGATAGAGGCGAGCTCTTGCGCTTTCTTGTTCGCATACCCCGAGGGGAGGTGCTACCGAGCAAGCTGGGAGACGGTGACGATGAGGTCTTCAATTTCATTTCAACGGATTGAAGTGCTGTCGTTTGCAGCTGTTCAGCTGCCGCTGGAAAATCGAACGACTGGCGGCTTTGAGACGTGGCCGAAGAATCGTTGCGGGTCATGTCCGCCGAGACTGGCCATGTTTGTGCTGAAGTGCTGTTGCCGGTCATTTCGTCCGTGTTTTGCCATGGTTGCCCACTGAACTGGAGCATATTATCCCCATTGAGCGGGGCAGGAAAGAGTTCTCCTCCGTCTATCTCCTCATGAAAGTATATTGATGCCTCGCCCAGCAGTCCTGGAGACCCAGGCAAAGGGTCTGACATCATGTAACTATGCGGCGGCATAGAAGACATGATGTGTAGTGCAGAAGGTTGGTTTGACGTTGATGTGTGTTCGCGGTGGTGATGTAAATCATATTCAAATCATCCCTGGCACCTGCCTATTTAACTACTGTTTACTACTATGGCTTGTGGCTGTTGGGGAGCTATTGCCTCTATAACTGAATTAAGCTATTGTGATAACTTTGACTGCTGTGGGTCAACTGGGGGTAACTATTATGGAGCTATTCTGAGCTAACTACAGGCTACCGTGATGGTAGCTGTCAGAAACTGATAAAAATGACACCTGCCGACACGTACCGTTCGTACGGCTAGCTACGACGGCCCCTCCCATGGATTCGCTCCGATTCCATACAACGTAGAGAACGCTACGTGTCGGCAGGTGTCATTTTTTCAGTTTCTGACAGCTACCGTCACGGTAGCCTGTAGTTAGCTCACTCAAATAGTAGTTTGTAGTTAGCTCAGAATAGCTCTATAATAGTTACCCCCAGTTGACCCACAGCAGTCAAAGTGACTGCTGTGGGTCACTTTGACTACTATGGGTGTCACGGCACTACTTTAAAGTGTAGTTGATTTAGGTTTATAGTTTTGCAGACACTAGAGGATATATGCCCCACATTCTCTACGTACAGCTAGCTACAACAGCCCCTCCCATGGATTCGCTCCGATTCCATACATATTGGACCCCTTAACATATTTAACGTACGTGATCAATGACTCATGAACGTACGGTCCCAACTGCTCTTTGCACACACGTCCATTCGTACTGGTTCAAATTAGTATTTGTCCTGAATCTGTTTGAGTGGTGACATCAAGACTTACAGCCTTGCCATCCTCGTCTCCAGTATATAACCCAGTGGGCATTGGCGTTAGAGCAGTAATCGTGCCTGGGGTCCTCTCTCCTCCCTTTCTCTGGTCGACATGATCGAGTCGTTTCACTAGCTCTAGATTCCACTTCCCACTCGCCCCCACACACTTGCGCCAGCAGTTCACCACACCACGCCGATGTCCGGTAAAGATCAACGTGTTCACAAGCCATTCGTTGCCTGCACCCTCGTAGAATGCACAAGAATGTACGTAGTCGTCCGAGTCGGTGCAGATGTTCTGGTCGACCATTAAGTCGCCATTAAGCGTGTATAGCGCGGCTCGCTGCCCGCGGCAAAGCAAGATATCACCGGTGACAGAGTTGATCTGCGCACACTGCACCGCGCGGCCTGAGGCGAGCTTGAGCACGAACTCGAGACGGTTAAGGTCCCATAATAGGACGACGCCATCAGTCGATGCCGATAGGATCGTGCTGAAGCTTTTGCTCACTGCTAGTGTAGAAACAGGCTGCGTATGCCCAAAGAGGCTAGTCATAGGAGCGAGGTCCACAGACTTGGCATTTGGCGAGACGGTCGTCCTCCATACGGAGACCACACAGTCGACACCTGCTGTGACCAGAGTTTTGGAGTCTACAAACATCGCCGATGAGAGCTGGCCTTGGTGCAAGTTCTCAAACAAGCCGAGTAGCTTTTTGGAATCTGCCGCGTAAAATCGCACACTGTTGTCTGCGAAGCCCCATTCCATGTATTTATCAAATAATGAGGGCATATTCAAGCGGAAGGCGGAGCCACAGAGTAATCGATCGAGCTTAGGTGCGTAGGTCAAAGAGGTTATTTTGTCGGGGTGCTCAAATAGTGGAAATGGAAGGCGCGTAAGTGAACTTGCGGTTGTATCAAGCCGGCGTGGATTATTTTTCCAGTCGTCGCGAGATTGATGTGGCTTTGAGAAAACTTGGTGAGGTGTTTGGCCAAAGTTGTGAATTATGCTGATGGTCTGTAACTTCTCGTGGCGGTCTTGTATTGCGTCTAAATCCGTTGCTCCACGGTATGATAAGTGGTGGAATACGTTTACGTTCTCGATTGCAGACTCGCCATTTTGCTTGCAGCCAAAGACGAGGTCGATCCACTCGTGAAGATGGGCGCTGGCGTACGGGCTCTCTAGTGCTTCTCTATTCTTTGCAATAAATATTTTAGGGTCGCCTTTGGCCCATGGCGGCAATTCGACGTTGTCGATAGAACCGCCAGTACCCTGCCGTAATCCGAAGTTGAAGCCGTTACTATTGGTAAGGAATTCGGGTAGACAGAAAAACTCTGGTGTCAGCTCCCTAACATCAGTCATATTGTCCCGCGATGCTGATTTCCATGCCTTTTCTATCGAATAAAACATGCGGTCGGGGTGGTCGAAGTTACCCCCTTGGATCAAGAGGTATGATTGGACAAACGGCTGCAATCTGATTAAGTACGAGGCCACAATCATAGCAGAAGTATAATGCGTGCCATAGTGGAACGGATTCTGTTCGCCCATTTCCGCAAAGGTTTTATACCTTTCCACGAAATCAGCTGCCCTGCTGAGATGCTGGCATCCCATGGGTTTCGAAAGGTCACGGAATGTTGCCGGATTATCCAAGTCAAGCTCTTCGCTGGTATAATCTGCAATGACCCACGGGAATACCGGGTACTGAGTCAAATCGTTAAATGTGCGTCCGGCCATGGTGTTCACTAGCATCAGGTAGTGAAAGTTGGATATCTCTCCCTTGGCCCACCTACGCATCGTTGGGTTCCAGGGAGATGAGTTCATTAGGCCAGCGATGCGGGAACTGAGCGTTGTGGGTGCCTCGTCGGGGGCCTTCAGCGCCTCCATTCGCCACGCATCTTCTCCATCAGCAGGCGGCGATTTATCGCTGGGGTGCGGTGCCTTGCTCGTCATCGTCGAATAAAGATCATTTCGAAGCACCGGATTCAAGGCAGTTAGAAGATAACTTCTCCCATCAGTGAAAAAAACCTCCACGGCAACATCGCGGAACAAAAACCTGCGCTTCGAAACGCTCAGTACCTCACTCCATTTCCAGCTGCGACTTTCTTGCTCGCCTGTGCTCTTCGACGGCTTTTCCTTAATTTCCTTTCCCGAAATCATCTGAACGTATGGATCTCTTTCGTCGGCGGGTGCGTTCCATACATCGACAATCTCCCCATCAGACCGTTGAAAGAAGTCGTCAATGAGATAGAGCGAGTCCTTTCCAAGTATTAGAAGCCCTTCACAAGCCTCAAGACCAATAATCCGAGATATGTTGAAAACGTGCTGGACCTGATCCCCACGTTCTAGACTCCTCATAACCTTCCTCTGCTTATCTTCAAAGTTGTCGTCATTATCATTTGGATCGTCAATAAGTTCAAAGTCTTCCTCTCCAACAACGCTCGCTGCGTCTTCTGATTCTTGCTTGCCAGAACCGATGGTTGAAACACCGCTTGTCGAATCCTGGGACCCATCTAGTACAGGGATAGCGGTAGATACTGGTGTTGGAGCGACGTCTGCAGTAGCCGGTGCTGGTCCAAGTTGAGTATTAAGTTTGATGGCTGGTTCTGGCACATTGTTTTTCCTTTTGGGTTGATACTCCTCGGAGCTGGGTCGATCAGGAATTAAACGAAGTCTCATCCTATTGCGACCCTCGGTTTGATCCAACCTCCACTTACATGGCACACCATTGTCGAAAACGCCACAGGTCCTATGCAAGTCTCGACCCATCTTTATAAACGAATTAATCATGAATGTGAGGTTTTCTTGTTGATCCTGCATCGTCCTCTGGTGTTTCAGATGCTCGGCGGCGTAAATATTCTTCCCCCAAAGATTGGATGTAAGGTCATGACGTAGCATAACATCCGCATCGTTCCTGTCCTCTCCCTGCCATTGCCTCAGCCTATCCTTGCGCTTGGCCAGGCGCGTCTTCAATGCCTCTTCCGTTTTCCCGTTTTCGGCATTAACAAAATCTTCCCATGTTTTGGACAGTGCGCCAAAAAACGGTTTGTCGAGTTCATCTCGATGGTCACCGACCCACTCGACAAACGATTCGTTGTCTAGTTCCATTAACCTCTTGAATCCTAAAATTAGCCTTTGTTTGTCCATAGACATCACCAAGATCGCTGATGTTTCGTCCGGTTTTTGAACAAGTAAAATACGCCACAGGTCCGCCGCAGCCGAGCATATTTTCTGGCGCGGGTCAACCAACTTCATGTATAGCTGATAACACATGAGCTTCAAGAACTCCCCTTCACTAGCCTCGGCCGACAGGAAAATGGTCTGCCAGTAAAGCAACTTGTTCATAAACAGGGCGGCTTCCTCTTCAGTAACGCCCGCAGCATCGATTTCGGACAAGCGTAAAAGCACGACCCGCAGGAACGTGCTGCGAATGGTTTGGATCGCTTGGTTGCAAAGCCGAACACTTTTAATCTTTGACGTTTCTCCTTGTTGGAAATAGTCCAGCAGGTGTCCAGCAAAATCCAAAAATGGCTCCGCACCTCCAAGGAACCATCCTTCAAAAATTGCCTCTGTGATATGGGTTGTGAAACGGGCCATGTTTGTTATGATTTTTGGTTGTATTAATAACTTGGGTTGTAATTGTATCGTATTGGAAACGTGTGATATTGTATTCCGCAATATGTATGATTCGAAATATGCTTGGTGTTCCTGGAACCCTGGTGGCACTTTGAGAAACAGGCCAAAGCCTGGGAATTCTTTACGCTCAAGAATCTGATCAAGAAACACATTGATGGTGAGTTCCAGTAGCTCCTCGACGACAGCATTGCCAACCTTTTGAGATATGACTGCATTCTGCGGGTTACCTATCCCCGTCAACTTTGCCGGAGATGGCGACAATGCAGGGCGGTTTGCTGTTAACAGTATAAAGGATGAGCCACGTCGAAGCGGTTTTGCTTTGGAGCTGGTCCCGTGTACATCTTGACCGAGATGTGTTTCGACGGTAGTGGTACGGACAACCGGAGACGGCGCCGATAATCCTCTTTGGGTCGGGCGGATGATAACATCTTCTCCATCAAATGTAAGAGCAGAATCCCGCGAATTTAGCTCAGTTTCGGGGCTGACAGCGTCTGCATTGACTACCGCCGGGAAGAGAACGGCAAAAAGGAGCCGCACATACTCAGAGGTGATAGAAAAATCACGGAAATTCTGAGACTGTTCGTGGAGATACGATAAGAACCTGATAACTGCATGGAGCACAGTTGCCTGGCCACCAAGCTTCTCTGTGGAAGATGTTGCTAGTTCTGAAAATAACAATTAGGGGGCTGTCGGGGAGAAAAGGTGTGGATATGAACTTACGTCGCGCCTCCAATTCTTTTGTCAAGGACATTGATCTCCGTCGTGATCCTAGGGTTGGCACTTTTAACTGACCTCCAGCAGGGCCGTTGTTCTTATCAGGATGGGGCGAATCGGGATCATCTTGGTTATGAACCAAGGTATTAAGTCCTTGCTGTAGCATGGACACAATAATTGGAAGGACGTCAGGATATACCAAGGACTTACGCCCAAACAGTTCAGAAAGACTGAATAGATCAAACGACCTTTCAAAATCAATCTCAGCTACGTCGTAGTTGAAGAGAATGCTGAAGATGATGGGATAAAGCGTAGGTATATCCCACCACCGCTTTAATCGATAGCGCATGACAACAAAGCCACCACTTGATTCTGTGAACTTCTTCACATATGCAGAACCATGGACAACAAGGAGACGAGCCAGGATCTTAGTTCCGAGAACGACAACTTCAGCATCGTCTTCAGCCAAAAGATGCAACAGCCACTACTCATGTTAGGGAGAGTACGTTGAAGTCATTGGGGCAGCTTACCTTATTTGTGACAGTTTTGGCAAACCTTTTCAGGTTTATAGTGCTTCCTTTCTCACACAGCAAGTCTGTGTACATTTGCAGAATGCCCCTCCCCAGTTCCCGTTTGGACATGACGGAAGATGGTGCATCGACATTGCCATCAAGCGATGTGTTTATTGGTGGACGCTTTGGTCCTGAGAGGCCCAGTCTTGGGTTATTGACGGTTCCAAATTTAGCCTTGGGTGTCCGCAATGCTGAAGTGCTTGGCTTATGGAAAGAATAAGTCACAAACAAGGCGAGTGAACGATGAACTTCAGGATTCAGGCTGCCCAATACTAGGACGGTAAATGCCTCTACAAACCCAGGGAAGATGTCTGATGTGAAGGTCTCGGCTTTCAATGCGTCAAGAAAGCGTTTCACAATCCCTACAGTTCTGATTAGTTTGGGAGCTTGGATTCAGCTATGCAAAGCGTCACTTACTCATGCGTGCCAATCTCTTGGAATTATAATGGTGATGCTTGCTCATTACTGCGAAGGTGATGAATTGCTTATAGTAGAGCTTCTGGGTAATGGCGGCGCTTTTCCGCCAAACGTCAAAGTCTGCCACCAAGGTGCGGTATGCCATGGGATTGTTTATCATAGATTCTTCTGGGGCCCTATGGTTGTAGCCAACAAATCCCAAGACGACACTAAGTAACTCGAAGCTTACCTTGTCCCGCTCTTCAGGACACGTCGGGAGAGCTTCACCAATCTGGCTACTCCCAGATGTCGCCGAAGTTGTAGCGCTTAACTTGCCTCTCAATAAAGCAGCAAGGACGGCGTAGCCGTTTTCACGCTCCATAGCCTCGCTGTTCCTCCAGCTGCCCTTGATACTCTCAAAAAATATCTCAACAGCCCGTACTAATTCTTCTCTGGAGGTAGCGTCTTCCACAAGCTTCATTCCAATCGCGATGCATCCTCCAAGACGCCACATGGCATCGTCAAGTGCCTGGGGCACAATGACGACAGGGCCACCCTTTAACAAAGCCACGCCGTTTGGAGAAACCAGTGCATCGTTGTAGAAAGGGATGGCGGCATTGATGGCAACAGACGTGCCAGTGTTGTGTGCAAGGCGATATAGGTTTGTCGACGCACTTGCGCTTAGGCCACCCACCAGCTGTGGCATATCAAGTTCGCCTTGGATGTCATCTCCCAGTATAGCGATTGGTAGAATGCTAAGCACTATCCGTGATTCAGGGATCAGATTGCTTGCCTTATCCCTGATTGCAGTCACAATCTCAGACTTCTCATCCTTTCCTGGATGCATGATGTCATTTCTCATGCTCAGAGCAGCCGATGCTTCATATGTCTGAAAGGACCCAAGACAATCCTGGAAGTTTCCATTATATCGAGGTCCAAGCCTGTGGTGGACAGCAATGATTTCATCGCTGAGAGCTTCTTCAAAAAGATGTGCCGATGCTAATGACCATTTCGAAAACACCATACCATGTCCTAGCTTGCTTGAAAGGTCTTGAGGAGTACCAACAAAAGCATGCACCGGATTTAGTTTGGAGCTGGAAGAAGAAAACGATGCAAAGCTCTCCGTGCTGGGGTTTGATTGTGGCGGAAGACATGGATATTGACACTTTACCTGCTCCACAAATTCGCCGTCAACATATAATGCTGCTTTGCTTGAGGCTATTGCTCGCGGACGCCTGTGGACGACCACGATATAGTACCATTTGTTTTCCTTGAAGACTGTGCTCTTGAACCGGACACTCGGTCTGGACGAAGTGACTGAAGTTTGAAGAATGAAGTTATGGGTATCTTTTTCAAGATATGCAAGAACAAAGCATGTTTGGCTCATATCAAACGCTCCAAATATAGTAGTGTGCGCGTCTGGATCAAATCGATCTATATGTACCCAGGCTGCGAAGGTGTAACCTGCAGTGGAAGAAGGAGGAGGAAATGGACGACCGAGAGTGGGGAGCTCTATCGAAGAGTACCCATTGAGAGACAGGTCAAATTGTATATGCGGCGGATTTTGCGTCACCTTTGTCATCCTGAGCAAAAATTCCGCAGCTCTAGGGGATCGATTACGAAGTAAATAGCGAGCATCTTCAAGTGAAGTCAAGCCAAGGGACATCAATGATCCACAAAGATTTTCCACGGCTTTTTGTTCAGGCGAGGAAAGGCCGGTACCATCATCAAATGCCGAAGGAAGGATAGACGAGAGAATTCCTGTTGAATGTAGACCTAACAGGTTGGCCTGCGAAGCGGCGGAAATATTTGACAGAGCCAATATTATTACAATGGATGTTGGGGCCAGTGACAATGGGCGGCTTCTAGGCAGCGCTTTCCAAAATCCGATTATGGTTGGAGCGATATCTGGATTCCAGAGGCCATCAATATCTCTGAGCTTGTCACTTATGTCCTTCTCTATCATCCGTGCAATTTCGTATGCACCGTCATCGCTGCCCGAGGCCGCTGGTCGACTAGCTAGTTCCTGAGCTTCGGAGCTCTCCTTCATAGGCTCCTCTGGTTTTTTCTTGGATGGTGAACTGTCTTTTTCAAAGGAGCTGCCTTGAATGTCTTGGCATAGAGAGTACAGCTTCTCATTGTCAACTGCAAAGGCCAGCAATATGCCGAATAACTTGTTTTCGCTCCATGTGTCAAAGTCGCTTCCCCCGAAGCCGATGCTCGCAATTGCTTGCTCAAGGGCGGCCCAGCCGCCCCCTTCGACTCGTTTCTTAAAGTATCTTCGATTTCCATGGTGGCCTCGGAATGCGTCCGATAACAAGGCGAGAGTAGTTGCGAGGAGATGAAATAGCTTCTCTTTTTCCTCTTGTGTTCTTGCTGTGGGATGATAGTAGCCCGAGACAGAGCGGATAGTGTCTAAAATTGTCTGGAACCCGTCGAGGTGTCTAAAGGCATCTCTGGGGCGATCAGACTTTGGGGACTTGTCGAGACATTGCCGTATAGACTGTACAGTTGTAGATACAGCTGTGATGTCATCTACCCGGAATTTTGTTGGGTTCTGGAGACTCTCTTTGAGTATGAGAAGGAGTTCTTCGAGTGTCGTGGTGAACTCGGTCCGTGGAGGGGGCGCTGAAGTGGAACTGGCAGTCAAAGAGCGGTAGCGACCGGTCCGAGACGACATCCTGACTCCTCTGCTCAAATAGGTGTCGTTTTCCTTAGGAGCATTGTCTGCTGCTGTCGCAAAGCATGCAGATCAGCCTGGTCGGTTCACGCCTCGTGTTACCTAATTCTGGCACATTAGGTTGCAGATGTGGGGAGGAATTGGCAACTGAGGGCCCTTTGGTGGCTGTGAGGGCAGCTGCACTCTCATACAGTACAAAATATGCAATTACAGGAGATGGTACAGGAATGTGCTCAGTTCAGGGACCGCACCGCAGCTGCCTTTCGTCATGCCGTTATCTGTGTGGAAGGCGACGGCGAGGCTGAGTATCGTCAGTGAGTAATAGACGCGCGGCACAGGGCCAATGGTTGTTACAGCCTCGTCTCTGCCGTGTGCGCCGTCCGTCCGCCGCTGATCGCGGGAGGGGAGAGAGCGGGAGGGCAGAGACGAGGGATGCACGAAACAGCAGGCGCATAGATACAGGCCTTCTGCCTTGATATGATATTTGTATTGTGGCAGTGAGTATTATAGATTGATCGGCTATGACGAGTTGCTCTTAAATGTTACATGGCAATGGGATTGTCGTGCTCGTGCTTTGTGTGCTGATTGAAACTACGTGTGCACGTGCGACTGACTGAGGGATGGGCTGGGTAGTCGAGTACTGTACTGGTATCCCTACTTGGTATCTACAGACGACCTTACTATGGGTTGGTAACAGGCAGAAAGGTGGTAGGTGTAAGTGGTAGGTGGCAAGCTGTTGGCAGCTGATAAGCACAGCACACAATCACGGACATGGGCATGGGCATGGGCATGGGGGAGATGGACTTGATAGCCCGAAGCCGTCCAGGAACAAGCAAGTACACTCCTGTTCGCTGCGCACAGAGTGGTGTCGCATGTACTCTGGGGGGTGAAGGCCGGAGTAAGCAGATGGCAGCTGTGACTCCAGCTCTAGTTGGTGGGTGATGTCTGTGGTGTCTGTGGTGTCTCTGGGTGTCTGTGGCTAGCTGATGACATCATTGCTAAGCTGGATTGTGTGCCATGGAGGGTATGGTACCTTGCAGTATAGTCGCAGCCATAGTACTAACTAACTGCCAGCATCCTGCCAGTAACATGTACCCATAACTCATAACCCATAACCCGTACTACCAGCACCATACAGGACTATAATACGTGCTGAGACATGTCCATGTGCGTGATATTGCTATAGAGTTCTCTTCTCGCAGCTCAGCTCCATGCATACCAGACAGAGTACTATGATGCCATCGGTCTCTCTCTCAGTTGTAACAGTGATGTATGTAGCACTGGAGATACCATACCATACCATACCACCCTCCGTACCTGAGCTTGTGGTCACGGGAAGGCCGACTAGGAAAACATGGTCGGGGGATACAGAGATACAGAGATGCAGAGACACAGAGACACAGAGATACCATGTAATCTATGAGTCGACGAGACAAGGAGGCACCAGCACCAGTGAGGCAAAGCAAAGCTCCGGGCGGTTCAGGGCCGAGCGAGGCGGTAACAAGGCGGTAACAGGCGGTAACAGGCCCATACTAAAACGTATCACGGGTGTCCCGTATCACGAGACGCTCACTGCCACTTACACCACACTTACACCACCCACCACTCACCTCCAACCGATAAGAGCCTACGCTAAACTATCTTTCGCTTAGCCTATCATCGCTATCCACGGCCGATCCACTATTATCCTCGCTTCATAACAAATCGGGTTTAAACACCCTGTCCCCATCCCGACCATTCACTCTAATAGGTTTAGTGGGGTTTCGTACCCACCGGCCGAGCTTCGCCTTCCCCAACCTTTCCTTGTCATGGGTAGTCAGAATGAGTACCTGGCTCGCTCGCTCGCCTCCAAACCCCGACCCATCCCCCCCCCCCATCCATCTTCATCCATCATCAACTCTCCTCCTCCCCTTCTTCATCATCCTTCATAAACAAACTCACTCGCCTCCTCTTCAAAAAAGGAGCATCCAACTCTCAATCTCATCATCATCCATCTCGCCTTCTTGTCCCGTTGATATATCTGGTCTCTGGTAGACACACGACACCTCAAACAGACGACACAAGGCACGACTCGTCATCATGCGTTCCGCCGTTATCGCCGTCTCCCTCGCTGCTCTGGTATCATCAGCCCCAACCATCAGCACAGAGACCATCCACGGCGATGCTGCTCCTATCCTCTCATCAGTAAACGCCGAGGCTGTGCCCGACAACTATATCGTGGTCTTCAAGGACCACGTTGATGCCAATGCTGCTGTCAACCACCAGCTTTGGATCAAGGATGCACACGTTGCCGCCGAGGTTGACCGTGCTGAGCTGCGAAAGCGCTCCCAGCTCCCCATCACCACCGATATCTTCGAGGGCATCAAGCACACATACAATATTGCCGGTGGATTCTTGGGATACTCCGGCCACTTCGATGAGTCAGTCATCGAGAAGGTCCGAAGGCACCCAGATGTAAGTAACAGTCAAAGCTCTCACATCATATCCTCCCCATCCATCGTTACCATCCCTTATCATACTTCTATCTGTGGGAATGGACAGGAACGGTGTCCGTTCCCCAGAGTAATGGTGCAAACCCCGCTTCCCTTCAGTTCAAGTTCGAAGGCACCCGGGTTACGTGGCAACGTGACCCGCTCCCTTGGTGCGGGGTACATCGGCATGGACTCGGCACTTCACATCATAACCACTTTAGAGCTTTCACTGACAACTATTGATAGGTTGAGTACGTTGAGAAAGATGCTATTGTTCACACATTGGGTGGAGACAGCCACGAGACAGAGAGCAACGCCCCATGGGGTCTTGCCCGTATCTCCCACAGGGACAGCCTGAGCTTCTCCAACTTCAACAAGTACTTCTATTCCGCTGAGGGTGGCGAAGGCGTTGATGTTTATGTTATTGATACCGGAACTTTCATCGACCATGTCGACTTTGAGGGCCGTGCTTTCTGGGGAAAGACCATCCCTCTCAACGACGAGGACGTCGATGGCAATGGACACGGCACTCACTGCTCGGGTACTATTGCCGGTAAGAAGTACGGTGTCGCCAAGAAGGCCCACGTCTACGGTGTTAAGGTTCTCGGCTCTAACGGATCGGGCTCCATGTCCGATGTCATCAAGGGCGTCGAGTTCGCCGCTGAGAGCCACATCAAGAACGTCAAGGAGGCCAAGGCTGGCAAGAGGAAGGGCTTCAAGGGTTCTACTGCCAACATGTCTCTTGGTGGTGGCAAGCATGCGGCTCTCGATGCTGCTGTGAACGGTGCCGTCAGGGCGGGTATCCACTTTGCTGTCGCTGCTGGTAACGATAACGCCGACTCCTGCAACTACTCTCCCGCCGCTGCCAACCTTGCCGTCACTGTTGGTGCCTCCACGCTCACCGATACCCGCGCGTACTTCTCCAACTACGGCAAGTGCAATGACATCTTTGCTCCTGGCCTCAACATTCTGTCCACCTGGATTGGCAGCAAGTATGCCGTCAACACCATCTCCGGTACCTCGATGGCTTCCCCACATATTGCCGGCCTCTTGGCATACTACCTTTCTCTCCAGCCGGCAACCGACTCTGCCTACGCTGTTGCAGAGATCACACCCAAGCAGTTGAAGGATAACCTCCTCAGCATTGCGACCGTTGGAGCTCTCGGTGAGGTTCCATCTTCCACCCAGAACCTTCTCGCCTGGAACGGTGGTGGTTCGTCCAACTACACCGAGATCGTTGAGGGTGGCGGCTACAAGGCCAAGCCTCACTCGTCTGGCAACGCCAAGATGCCATCGACTATCTCTGACATGGAAGCCGCCATTAAGGCAGAATTCAACGTTGCCTCTGGCAAGGTCGTCAAGGGATCAAAGAACCTTGCCTCTGAGATCGAGAAGTTCTCGAACAAGATCCACGACTTGGTCGAGGAGGAGCTCAAGGAGTTCTTTGAGGAGTCATCGTAGATTAGTAATCTCGAAGGAGATTATGAATCCGAGTACATAGATGTGATATGTCTAGGATAGGCTGGTTTTATCTCTCGCGTTTTAAGGTTTTTAGGTTGGATGGGAGCTGGATCGGTGGTATTTGAGGTTTTGCATTGTGCTTTTATTTCCTTTGTGGCTCTCCAGATTGTTGCATCATCATTGGTTGCCAAGGGGGGGTTGTTTTACATGGTCCACACGATAGACAATATATCATTGTGTGACATTTTGTTCAACCACTTCCAAGACCTGAAAACTGTGTTATGCAATGCTGCCAGCTTTCGTGAAAAATGTATAGCCCTGCGGCTCACATAAATATTGGGTGATGTTTCCTGAAGTCAAAAAGTAGTAAGTAACCTTCCGTTGGTTCCTTCCTTCCCTTGGGATATTTTCGGTTTCAGGAAGTTGCGACCATGGCTCGTGGTCCGACTTCCTTCGTCCTTTTTCTATCTCTCTTCTCTTCTCGCACGCAGCCCTTAGACATTTGCGTCTTGCATTTTGGGTATTTGTTGTTCTTCTTGCTTCCCACATGCCCTTGCTTTTGCTGCCCTCTGAGTGCGATTTTCATTTCTAGTCTGATTTCGCATTTGGCTGTTCGTTGGTGCGCCGTTCCCACTGGAAGGTCGTCATGCCCCGGCGTGGCCAGTCGAATAGGATCACAAGACGGAAATCAGCAGCATCCATCCATAGCCAGCCTCATATCGATCCTGAGACATCACGACAGCAAGCTTACGCTGCTGCAACATACGCATTTGCGCGAGCCCAAGAGAGGAGTGGCGACATGGGGCCTGGCGGCGCTGTGGCTCCGGCCATCACCGCAAATCCGCTGGAGGAGAATATGCATCCACGCACTGATAACGGCACGAAAAGAGGAGCGTTGAAACATAAGCAGAGTGTGCGGTTCGCAGGGCCATTGGCTGCTCCAAGACCTGCACTGGGCACCAGAACAATACAGCAGAACTCAGTGCAGAGAAAATTAAGCACAGGATCACTTCGACCTCAAGCATCCACAGGTGATGTGCCCGTGCCTGCAGCATATCGGCCCCAGAGCAGATCTTCGTCGCTGGAGGCGTCGTTCAAGCAGGTTGGGCCTGACAGTTATGCTACGGCACTGGCGGCATACGATGAGTATTACACGCGCGAGGACGACGTGGTGACGACGCCGTCTTCATACAGGAAGATACGAAGATCAAAATCGATGTTGCATCCTGCCACGGCGCAGGGGCCTTTATTCAGCAATGGTACCCCGGAGAGTTCGATTGCGGGCCGGAGAAATAATGGTCTGTTTAGATCAAAGGGCAACGTAGCCTTGAGGGCACCCAAGTCTATGAGCTTTCTCCAAGGGGGCAGGTCAAGGTCTGCTCAAAATCCGGAATACGATGTTGCAGTGCAGGTTGCAAGAGACAAATTCCTCCGCCAGGTTGAACAACAGCGCCTTCGAGAACAGCCCTCGTTCCTCTTCCGTTCGAGCAAGGCTAGAAGAGAGGAAAAGTCACTCCGCAGATCCTTTCGTACCAATAGCAGCACCAACAGTTACGGGATGCCCATCGCTTCCGAAAATCAAAACTATCATCGGAGCTGGGATGACACCCTAAAAAATAAAGCACGACAGGCTTCAAAGAGTTTCAAAAATAAATTGAAGGGTCTTTTTCGACGGAGTAATGGCGATGGGAGTGTGGCCATACCTGATCAAGAAGTTCAGGCTCAAAAGTCTCATATCACAGACTATGAGATACAGATAGGACCGCCAACGGCACTGGGCAGCCCTTACGAGGAGTCACCTCCTGCTCGTGCTACACTTTCAACGGTATCTACTCAGCAGCCATCTCTTCGTATGGTCCCATCTTCCCATCGGCTACGATCTATTGCTGGCAGCATGCAAAGCCTAACCAGTGAAGCAAGTAGTAAGTCGAGAGTGATGAGCTGGACAAACACCGATACAACGGCCAACAGCCGCTATGCAGCTGCGGAAAGAGAGCGGGAAAGGTTGTCTGTAATCAACGAAAATGGCACCCACAAGGCATCCTCGTCGTTTAACCGCCCAACCCTCAAAAATCAATATTCGGCATACCCGGATTTCAACCCCCCTGGAAGCACACATGGACATCCCCCGCCGTTTATCGGGCAGGTTGACAGCGCACGTGTATACTCAGCGTTAATGAGGCGACTTTATGAAAACAGCCCAGAAGCTAAATTGACGAAGCAAAAGGATAACTCGAGGACGTCTCGATCACCCAAACATGGTGTCCCAGGAAGTGGTTCGGTGGACAGTCGGCAGAGCAGCCAAGGGTATAAATCCACCATTATTAGGGTTAAAAATTCCTCCGAAAACTTCTCTGCGTCGGCAGATAGGTTTCAAAACATGAACCAAAGCAATGATGTTTTTTACACTGCGAGAAGCTATTATGACAGTGGTTCCATAGGGCACAAACGTGGACACAGCAACTCTTCTGCTTCTACAGTTATCACCAAAAAACCAAATTACAGAGCATATCCACCACCCATTATGGGAGATTTGCCGGCCAAAATAACACCCCAAGAAGCTGTGGCGGCTGTCGAACTCCAAGGCACTGTCAGCAGAGGCCCGAGGGAGACCAGGTCTACATTTTTTGGTGGCACTGAGCTGACCAATATCGGAGGCACACCTAGCCCCTATAGGCGGGCAATGGCTGAGGCAGATCTAAATTCTACGATGGGCAAGATGGGAATGTCCTCCGCTGACTCAAGTCCCTTCATTCCTGACAGTCTGCGACGAGAAAAATCCGCTTTTAGCCTAGCTAATTGTGAATCCGACAAACAGGAGGGTGACGGAATTGATTATGCCTATACAGAGAGCATTTATTCCAGAACTACAAGTGGGCGAACTCCACCCGATATGGGAGAGTCGTTTCAAGCCAGCGAAGACTCAACGCCGTGGAAACTTGGATCTGCGGTCTTGGTGGAGCGCACTACCTACTGCCCTCCGGGGCCACCACATCGTGTTAATGCAAGCACTGGGAGTACAGATTGGAAGGCCTGGATGAGCGCACAAGTCTCCAAGCTCGAGAGGGCGAAGGAAAACGTTGATTCTGCCACGTCTGCAGGCCACCTCGTTCCGCACATCGTGCCTACGATGCCCAAAATATTCGGGGGCCATGTTCGAGAGACGGCGCAGATCTCGGGGGACGACACGGCATTTTCGGTGCCGAAAGCTACTACAATTCCAATCCAGCCACTAGAAGTATTGCAGGAGGATCCCAACGTCTCGCCAAACCCAATCCTGAAGAGTAAGCTATCATCAAGCTCGCTGCTGGTCCCGAATGTCACGCCTACCCCGAGCCAAAAAGGGGTGCGTGGCTCCTTGAGGCAGGCTCCATCGAGAAGTAGCATGAAGAGCGTGAGCACTGTCCTGAAAGAGCGTATGGTAAGTAATTCAGCTGCAAATGTGATGGGAACCTCGACAGGGAACTCCCCTTCTTCCCAGCGCGAAAGTTCCAAGGCACGACAAAAAATGCAGCGAAAACAGTCCAGCGCGACACTCCACAGTGTGCAGACACCGAGTAAGCTCGTCAAGAAGATTGGGAGGCGCGCGTCGAACGATAACGCGCAGTTGCCGAGCCCTGGGGTTGGACTTGCGCAGATGGTTGCGGAGAAGAAGTTCGCATCTGTTGGGGGAAGGGTGGCGGGGATGGAAAACTGGACACCGACTAAGGTTGACGGACTGGGAGGGGACGGAGGCGTAGTGGTGGGAGGCAGAGGTGTGGAGTTGAATGGGCAAGTTATGGGAAGCAGACGCATGGTGGATCTTTTTCTGAGCAGTCGCCGGAAGCGGGTCGCGGGGAGTGAGGATAGTAATGTGTTTTTGTAGAAGGGGGAGGGGTGTTCTGGGTCGGGGAACAACGGTAGCTGGTTATATGATTTGGCTGGGGTTGCGTATTTGTTTGGATTGAGGATGGGAAGAATATTATTGTTGGAAGGTCGGGTTGAGAGCTATTCTTTCAGCTGGTAGGCCCATATGGAAGGGCTTTGTTGAGATGGGGAGGGGATGGGGATGGGGATGGGGATTAAAAGCGGGATACAGTATTATGCTGAATAACAGAATAGAAAGCTGCATTAATACGGATAAGTGAAGTTATTGGCAGTTCCATTATCAGATGTTGAGGTTTATCAGCAATATTATTGTGTGGAATTTTGCCCTGTTATTTCTTTTTGGACGGAGGAGTCTAGAATAAAGTAGGACTTCTTGTATCGAGCCATAGCCTGGGAATATCAGGTGAAGGCTAGTGACACATATGCTATATATTAATAAAATATTTTGAAGCATTATATTTTGTTGGTAATTGTATAACGATAAAAATTATTCGGAAACCCCCAATAAATCTAAGGCGGTACAGCGTTCACATTTGTGGAGCAAGAACATGGTGTCCATAATCATGGTAAGAGTCGCCGACTCAGATTCTATTAATCAAGGAAAGCAATGCTCCTTCCCGTCTTTGCCGTTCCTATCTTGCATGTCTGTTATACAAACCCATCCCGCCATGCAGCATTCTCCGTCCAACCAAAGCACCCATGCCAGCCCACCCATCCATAATATTTATACAAATCCCACCAAGCACACCCCCACCTTCCCCGCCCAAAAACGCCTTCCAGCCCCTCCCTCTCCACTTTATACACCTTTCGCCCACCCATTCCCGCCGCGCGCCTCTATTAGAACCCCTCAAACGCACTATCCCACTTCTCCCGCGCCTCCTGCGTGTAAATATCCACCTGCCCCTCATCCTCGCTGTACCGCTCGAAGCAGCTATCGTCGCTCGCGCCGCTCAGCTTGGGGATGATCGGCCCGTCGTGGCGGCGCGCGTACACGTCGTCCCAGTTCACCGAGGCGAAGAAGGGGTGCGACTTTACGTCTGCGGCGCCGCCGGAGAGGTTGCCAAGGCGGTGCGAGCGGTCGACTGTGCAGAGCGCTAGGATGAGATCCTGTGCGTCGCTCGAGATGGGCGGGTCGTGCTGTGGGAAGGTGATGGATTTATGGATTATCCTGGTGTGGGTTAGCGTTGTGATACATGGGGTGGAGGCAGAGGGATGCGCACTGCTTGTATATCTCCATCGGGTTCTGGTGCCAGAAGGGCGGATACCCAGTGATGAACTCGTACATCAGGATGCCGAAGGCCCACCAGTCAACGGCAGTCGAGTGGCCCTGGGACTGGATGACTTCGGGAGCGAGGTACTCGGGAGTTCCGCAGAGTGTGTATGTTTCCCCTATTTCCACAAGTTAGCAGCTGTTGGCGACAACACTACGACTATATAGCCATCCGAGCGCCGACTGCGCCAACCCACCACCATAATAAGTATCCGCGTCCACCGTGCTTCGGGTCAACCGCCGCATGACCCGTTTTGAGGAAGAGAGAATGGGACGGTAAGGAAAGGAGGGCGTACTATCGCGCACGCGCTTCGCGAAGCCGAAATCGACGAGCTTGACGTGTCCCGCGGCGTCGAGGAGGATGTTCTCGGGCTTGAGGTCGCGGTAGGCGACGCCCTCGCGCTCGTGCAGGAACTCGAGGATGAGGACGATCTCGGCAAGGTAGAAGCGTGAGACGTGTTCGGGGAAGCGGCGCTGGCGTCGCAGGTAGCTGAATATTTCGCCGCCAGGGCAGTAATCCAGCTGGAAGGAAAGAGAGTTAGCGATATGTGGGTATTGATGCGACCTGGTAATAGCAGCTTACAAGCATATATAGGCATTCCGAGTCCGTAAAGGTGGTAATTAATGTAGTTATAAATGGATAGCCGGCGACATCTGCCAGGATGGCCCGTTCGTGGTTGACATGATCGACTTGCTTGAGCTTGATTACTGTTACACAATGTCAGCGTTGTCCGACGTGAGACCCCGCAAAGGAAGAAGGAGGCGCTGCTCACCCTCAGTTTTTCGTAGGACCTTCAATGCGAACACCCGGTCCTCGGCTCCCTGCATTGGGTGCGCGAGTCTGACCAGCCAAACCCGCGCGAATGTCCCAGTCCCGAGGATCCTCAACAACTTGAAGTCCTGAAGACGCAGCGTCTTGGAACTGCTACCGAGATGCTTCTCCACAAAACCCTTGGTCAGATCGCCGGGCGGGTTGCGAGTGGCCGCATTGGACAAAAACATGTTGGCGACGGCGTCCTTTTTGCGGCTTGCATCGACCGAGTTGCTCGAAGAGATTGAAGGTTTCTCGAAGAGAGCGGCGATGCCAGGGAAGCGGGCGCCAGTTTGTGTGATCGCGGCCGCAGCCATAATCGTGGCAACAACGTCGGGATTGAGTAGTGAGGGTCGATTAGCAGCGACAAGGAATATGCCCTGTAAAAGACTCGCAGTTTTGGTGGGGTTGGTGGGTGTCTGTGGTGTCGGTATCGGTGGGGCAGGTCGTAGAATTGGGATTTTTTAGTGGTTCTGGGTTAGGGGTGGGAAGGGTTCTGAAAGGGTGGATTTGTTGACCGGCAGTGTGAATCCAAAGTGTGTATTTCGTAGAGTAGAGTAGAGTAGAATAGAGTAGAGTACTCTGTAAATCATCAAGGAGGGAGAGAATAGGAAGCCATCTGTATAACTGTATATCGCTCGCGATAATAGCGGAGGGGAGTATAACAGTGAGGGAGAGAGAGAAAGGAGGGATGGAGGGGGAAATATAGGAGGACTGAGTAAGAGACCGAGCCGAGCGGGTAGGTAGGTAGGTAGGAAGGAAGGAAGGTTAGTTGGAAAGATGATGTTTGGAGAATGAGGGGAATGGGGAAATGGAGAAGCGGTTACATCGTTACAGTGCATAAGTCTAGTAAAGTGGCAGTTATGTAGTACGAGTGCATATTTGGAGTAGAGTGGTAGTATGGACCATACCACTTACTCTTACTATACATACATCCGTGGAACCAGTGAGACTCATCGGGGATCGATCGTTGGGTTGGGTCGTTTTGGGAGGGTTTGGGCGAATGCATTTGCTCATCGGGTATACTAAAGTAGTGCTTTAGGACTAATCGCTATGGGATCTATGGGATGGTTGTTGACGGCGTTGACGGCGTCGGATTATATGGTCAGATGACGTCGATGACGATTAGACACAAATCAGAGACGGCGAGACCGACGATACTGACACTACTGACACGATTATGAGACAACACGACGACGACAAGACTCGCAGGGTCCGACTAGTCCTGTAGCCGCGAGACATGTAGTAGACAGACATGTGCCATGAATGCACGTGGGGGATCTAAAATGTTGCCATTGTGCATAGTCCTCATTAATTCATTAATTTATTAATTCATTAATCGTCAACTGGTCCCCTATCATCCAATCTAGAAGCACGTTCCAGATCACGCTCCTGCCATTGGGAACAATATCTAACAAATATATATATATATATGTACATGTATCTTATCTAGATATATACAAGCGATCGATCAGATTGATCTCATATGTACCCCCACGCACTGCATCTTACCTCCTCACTTCTCATCTTCCGTAGCCCGAGCAGTTGCGGCATGTGCAATCTCAGACGACGAGGTTGAGTCGTATTCAATCCTCTCGCTCCCGGAACGCCCCCTTATCTTCCTACGGCCCGCAAGAGAAGGCATCGCGCCCTCGGTATTCCGACGCGGTCCATCCGAGACAAGATCCTCGCCGTCAATGTCGGGAGTAACTGCTGCTACATCAGCATAACTGCTGCCTAGAGATTTGGAGGCCGACTCTGTTGGGTTATGAGGGCGCCGCGCTCCCGGCCCAAGGGAGGCATGGCGTGCGGCGCGGTACTTGGCGAAGTGCTCTTCAGTATGCCCGGAGTCAGAGAAGCTTTCGAGGGCGTCTATGACGTGCGGGAAGACGAGAGTGTCGACATCGCGGGCCCACAGGAGATCGAGATGCTCAAAGTGTGGGATTTCAGTCGCCACGGTGTGGGCGGGGAGCTGCTTCAGCATGACGTTAATGTCAACTAGGGAGTCGGAGCCGCCGTAGACGAGGACCACGGGGGTCTTGATGTTGCGGGTTGGGAAGCGGGCGACCTTGGTATATTTGCTGACGCTACCGAGGCGGAGTGGAGGTTGGACATCGTCGTCGTAGAGCTGGAAGGAGGCGGTGCGGATGATTTGGAACCAGTGGACTACACTCTTGGTGCTGGTGAAGGAGTAGAGATGGGGGTAGGCCGCGAGCTTCTGGGCCATGGAGATGTTTTTTCCGTACCAGCCGAAAAGGAAGGCCAGGGAGGTGTCGATGGCACGCACAAATATTGGAGGGTATAGGATAGACTGCCACATTGTCGTTGAACTCAGGATGGAGCGACGGCCAAAAAGGAGGAACAGAACCTCTGGAGAAGCTTTCATCAGCGAGTCAACGACGCCGTTCCGTAATCCTGCAGGGGACATCGCCGGTGCGAGCGCTATGAACACGTTGACTTTGTCGTTCAATTTCGGGTGTATTGATAGTGTAGCAAAAGCCTGTGCTGTGCCTTGGGAGAATCCAACATATGACAGCGACGGTTGGTAGGTCGTAGAGAGGATGTAGTCGATACTATCTGGGATGTCATGAAAAGCAAATTCGTCCATTGAGAAATCCCAAAATGCTATTGCTGTCGGAGGGTGATGGATAGATTTCTTGGAATATTTGTTCCCACGGTTGTTTCCAAACTATAAACGGTCAGTAAGTCCCAAGACTATATAGGTAGGATACACATACCCAGACATCGTACCCCTTTTCCACAAGGTGGAATGGCAGACAGCGTTCTTCGTCGGTCAGACACACCCACACTTCGCTATTCATAAGCAGCCCATGATGCAAATATACCACGGGTTTTTTTATGCCGCCTTTCGATGAATTGACCCTGACACCCTCCTCTCCTCGTTTCCAGCCAAGTCGGTGGAGTCCAAGCAAGTATCCATCTGAGGTTTGTACCACATGCTCTTCCGCCAGGTAGCCTGACAGTGCGCATAAGTCGACAAAATCGGAAGCATCGCGGATGGCGCTCGACCGGGCTGTAGCAATAATGTCAGTCTTATAATTACCAAGCGGGTGCGGGTACATACAGCTTTGCCTGGACACCGACTTCTTCGCTGCGGTGGATGTAAAATAGTGGAATAGTCGTTTCGACGCTCGATAACACAGGGCTATTATACTCGTGGCTATAAAATATTAGCTATGGAGGACTTGTATAGGAGTGTTGGGGGGTATCCTACGCAGCGCAAGAGTGAGGACTCGAATAAGTGCTTCTAGCCCAACCAAGACGAAGGAGACGACGAGTGCTACATACTCGCTCCTATCCCCTTATCAGCGCATGTTCAGCGAATTCCTCCACAGCCAGAAGACTTACAGGTTGAGCCTGGACACAAATGGTATGCGCCACATGCTGGTCCCAAACTTACACACGCCAGAAGCTCACCTCAGCTCAATTCATTGTTGGCGTCGCCCCCGTCCAGCTCCAGCTCCAGCTCTATCACGTGTGAATCCTGGCTATGTCCCTTTTAGTCAGCCCGATTCAGGATCTAGGTCTCCGTGATAATGATAGAGACGGATTGGGAGAGGTAATGAAGAGTGAAGTTCGATGGACGAACCAGAAGAATATAGAGTTTAAAGAATGAGGGACAGGTAGGGTGACAATGGTGTTTAAAGTCCGAAATCAAGTTTATGGCCCTGTAGCCGAAGTATGGGATTTACAAATGCCATCGTTTGTTGTTTCGTGGTGTTCGAAGGGGTCTCTTAGTGGTACGATGCATAAGAGCTATACTTTGCGTGCCCTTAATAACTATCAGCCCCCATAGCTCAGTTGGTAGAGCGCGGCACTAGTACGATTCATGGTCACGTGAAATCACGTGATATGCCGAGGTCTACGGTTCAACTCCGTATGTGGGCATTTCTTTTTGCCTTTTGAGGGATTTTTTTTTGTTTGCCAGAGCCAGATAGATGACTGGCTATCAGTGTATCCATCCGATCTAACTTGTTGTTAATTTATTCAGCACACAGATCGTTTGGGTTCACCATCAATCCTTATTTTTGCCCCGCGTCATCGTGGTGGAGTAGATAAGCGATAAGCGAGCAATTAAATCTGGGTGTGCTCATGGAGCTTGGCGTTTCTGACGCGTTCAGTTCAACTCAAACTCCAAGGCTTAACCCACAGCCGCGCCCGTTGACTTCACATCGCATTCAATTAGCAAAACACAATACGCAACATACCACACGCAAAACAACCTCTATACATCATCCTTGTGTACGACCCTGCTCTCCGGTTATTTTGCAAAACAATTCGTCCAAAACCATCCAGTTTTCGACCTGCGATGCCTCGGCGTTCTTTATCTCGTGGGCGCGAACCCATACGCTCTCTTTCACCTCGTCTGGACAATTCTCGCTCTCCACCACCCTTGCACCGGCGATCTATATCACCCCGCCGCTCACGTTCCCCCTCATATGATCGAAACGGAGGCCGCAGAGCCACCAGGAGCATATCACGCAGCCCAAGTCCGGATGTGAAAAGCACAAAGGTATGAAATCCGCACTCACCTTTTTTAGCTGGCTCTGCAATGCGCTGTCGCGTGCTACGAATGAAATTGTTACTGACAGGTTCCAGATTGTGGTTGAGAGACTCACCAAGAACATAAATGAGAACCACCTCAGAGAATTGTTTGGGAGCTTCGGTGAGATTATTGATATGGATATGCCCATGAACAGACAATGTAAGTTGTGTCGACCCTCAATAGGACCTTTCTAACCCGTACAGTCGGTACAAACCGTGGTACAGCTTATCTTCTATACGCGGTTGAAGCGGACGCCGACCAGGCCATTGCCCATATGCATGAGGCGCAATTGGATGGCGCTGTGATAAGTGTGTCTATTGTCATTCCAAGGCGCAAGTTCTCACCAGCACCGCCACTGGCAAGACGGGGAGGCGCAAATATTGAACCACGAGCACGAATGGACCCTCGAGGGCCTCCGCCACCAAGGCGTCGATCCCCAAACAGAAATTACAACAGAGGTGCGCCGTCAGATACCTATCGACCACGGTCATTGTCCAGGTCTCATTCGCCAAGGGCGCGCAGGAGCCATTCCAGAACCTACTCATCCACGTCAAGATCCCCGAGGAGGCGCGGTGGGAGGCGAGATAACGAAGATCGTAATGGGACTCGGAGGAGAAGTTTGAGTTACAGCAGCTACAGCAGCGATCGCAGTCGTAGCCGAAGCAGGGCTCAGCCGGACAGGGAGAGAAGATAAAGATCGTTGGGAGAGGGTATAGTGTCATTTCACATAGCGAAGGAGTCCTGGGTCGTAATTATGGCAGTTTGGGGGGTTTGTGATTTTGATGGCGCATAAACGAATAATAATTCAACGGTGCATCCTCTGTGTGTCGTAGTTAGATAGCTACTTCACCAAATGTTCAAGGAAGGTCCAATGGTCCACCAGCCATTCGTGCCTGCCAACTGATGGGACTTTCTGCAACTTTCAAACCCGCTTCCTCTTTTTCTCTTACTCGAGTCAACTCTCCTTCGTCTTGATCCTCATTCATTACGCAGCTCATATACCTAAGTATCATATGCACAACTCTCCTAGATCACTATATATTATCTGTATCCTGTTCACATCACCATTGGCAGGTTGCAACTTTACAATCTATTTCCTCATCGAACAAGGCCAAAGACGCCGTAACCTGCTCCCTGGCAGTCTGAGAATAGGTCTAATGTCGACCGTTCACATTATTATCCACCCAAATCCGCATTCGGTACGTAATGCACACTGGCGCCGAACATCAGACAGTTGTACTACAAATCTAGATTCAAGGAGACCATGAAATTAAGTGTCTGGATAGGATAGTGACGCAGAGCTGCCGCGTTTTAATTCGCCAGAACAAGAAGCAGCAGACACCGTCGTACATATCATGACGAGAAACGCCACATCAAAACCCGAAACTGGAACTGCTTTCCCTTCCAAATTGTCCAGAAGTTCAACCGCAGCACCGGTGCTAGTAACAGCACCTGTGCCATCCATCCTAGGCGCCATCGACGGCATTCAAGAGACCCCTGGTGCCCCGGTCGTGAGACACAAGGAAGAGGCCAAGACAGTGGAACTGGGACCATCGGATAACAAACCATCGGAAACACCTGTAGCTAAGATACCTAAGCGGGTAGCTGAGTCTTCAGAAATCGAAATATCCTCTGTCGTTGCAGATGTTGAAGAGGGCTCCCGTCCAAATGAGCCTGCTGAGGACGCTTATGCGCAGGACAAGTCCGTAGCACTGCCTATTTCTGAAAACATCCATACCAGAACCACGAGACTTTTGGCGATTACTCCATCATTCACTGCGAAGCCATACCAGACTGGTATTCAAGTCCCTTCGCAGGGTCGAGTAGCCGACGGCTTCCCTTACCCGCCCGGGCTGGCTGCTTATGAGATACTCGAGGAAGACTGGAATAAATTTACAGCTTATCTGACCTCACTCATTACCCCCCAACGTAAGAAGAAGAAGAAGAAGACTCCGATTCGCCTGGTTCTTCCGTTTGGTGGGCGTGGCGGGAAATCCGAGAAACTCGACTTTCAAAAATCGCTTTCTAAGGTTTTCGAATATGTTCGGGCATCCCAGAATAACCTGTTTCGCCCCAAGGGTCTCCTTATGAGGGTCGACATACCAGAGGAAGGTGTCGGTATGGAGTTCATGGATCTATACCATGGAGGACATGTCGACCGCTTATCCGACACATGGGGAATCGAGGCTAGAGTGGCAAATGCTGAGCCCGTAGCTGATGGTGAGGAAATCGATACTACTGCGGAGGATGTTGCAGCACATTCCAAAGTATCTAGGACAGCACTACAGCCTAGCAAGGCCCAAACCAAGGCCAACAAGGTCCAAACCAAGGCCAACAGGGCCCAAGACAAGACGCTTGAAAAGGCGAGAAAGCAACAACTAAAGGCTTTAGGCCACCTAAATAACGCACAGAAGAAGATGTCACAACGTATCCGAATAGTTATTGAGCCTGTCACGGTCCTGGGAAATGTAGAAAGGTCCGATAAGAACGGGTGGACAGCTTGGATTCGCCATTGCGACAACTATGGCTCGCAGTTGACCAACTGATGCCAACCAGGGCCATCGTCTGAAGAGAATGCAATCTGACATGGGAAGAGTCAGTATTACCTGAAAAGAAAGGCAGTGGATACCGAAAGCAGTTGGAGTCGAGATATCTCGATACTTGTTGGACTCTGGTTCGTTGTTTGGAACTGTCTGAAGAGAATTGCTCAGGGGTGAAGCTGGTACAAGAGCTTGAGATGGCCGGATTGGCAGCTCATAGAAAACGAGTACAAGATTGTTCTCATGGTGTGTTGACCTAGAAGCCACAGATGGCGCTGTTGTTTGTCCGGTACTTTAGTCCGGCATGTAGTCTAAAGTTACCATTTGAACATCTGTCAACTCATCAGTGCCGAAATGCGTTTATAATTGTAGCCACGTCACATTTGGATTTGGTGCAAGTGACTAAATCGGAGAACAACGCCAATGAGAGGTAGATAAAGATGTTGGTGTAACTATATCTCTGGCGTCTTTGCTCGAGACAGGTAGGCTACAGTATTAACTATGCTCCTAGCCTTACTAATCCTTCAGCCTCCCCATTCCCAACCCGTCGAATAGTGGAAGCAGGAAGGTCTCAAGTCGCTCGTTCTGAACAAGTTCCTTGTTGAACCTATCCAGAGCGACCAACTGCTCGGCTCTACCCCCCTTCTCAGTTGAAAGCTCTTCGGGGGTGGCATTTGGGTTTGAGGCGCTCCTGTCAGCGACAACACCACGGCGGAGAATATTATCCGCCATAATTGTGCCTCCAGACTTGAGAAGGCGCACTTGACTAGTGGACGTTGAAAGTGAAAGGATGAGAGCGAGATAATTGGGGTAGGATATCTTGTCTGCATCGATGAAGATCAGATCGTACGGCTGGTCGATGGCCAGGGCCAGCTCAGGAATACTAGAAGTTGTCAATCAAGGCATTTTATTTTTATAGACGAGGGAAATATATAAATCACCTCTTGTTCGCATCTCCGACGATAACTTCGACGTTCTTCACGCCATTCTTCTCGAAGGTCTCACGTGCAATCTGGGCGTATTCCGGGTCAAACTCGAGAGTTGTGACGTGACCATCTGGACCGACTGCTTCGGAAAAGCCAAGGGCTGAGAAACCGATGTAGCAACCAATCTCGAGGACTGGTAAAGGTTAGTGCTGTCGCTATCAAGGCTGTAGAGTTGGAATATTGGTATATCAAGACATAGTTTGCTCCTCCCCGAGGAATATAGACTATAGCAATTCATGGGGTAGGTGGGACAGAGAGTGTACGGCCCAGGATACAAGATCCGCCACGTTGTACGACAGGATAGATTAGACGTGCATACTTCTCTTGGCTCCAAGTGCCTTTGCAAACCAGATCTGGAACTGGGTCTGGAAGGGCGAGATCATGAACCCCGCCTTTGGTTGGTCGGAACCCCAAGCATGGTGCTTCGTGATGTAGTCTGGAAGCTTGGTGGAGTGTTCAAAGGCATAATCTGTAACCTTCTCGGAGACATGCTCATTTGGGTAGAGATGGGTGCCGTTGTCCTTCATTGCAGCGTATGACGTATGACGTATGACGAGGCCGAGATGGCAGATATAAATAGATATATATGGGTATTGTATAGATGGGAACAGATGTGAATAGATGCGAATAGATAAAAAATAGACAGGATATTACCGCATTTATATATAAAAGATGGAGGTTGCCACTAAAGTCCTTGCATATAGATATCTCATACCTCGGGACCTCCTTACTGGGAGCTTACTGTGAGGAGACTGTGTGTATACTAACTAACTAACTATAGTACTATAGTAGTAAATCTCTATGTATACTGGTATGTATGCACGTACGTACTCTCCCTGTCCCTCCTGTCCCGTACATCGCGCACAGAACCACCATCATGGCGTGACGTGGCCTGCCATGCCGGTGCCGGTCCGCGATATTACCAGAAAGGGAAAGACCGCGTCTGTCGACAATCGACAATCGCCAATCGCCAATCGCCAAACAAGCAACCGCGTAAAAGCGGCAACAGGTACAGGGGTCATCTAATCGCCCTTGCACCTTATTGTCATCCTTGCTTTGCGGGGTACTCTATTCCTCCGGTCACACTTACTCACACTCACACTTGCCACTCTATCAACTCTACCACACTTAGTACTGTATTGTACTGTATTGTACTTACCTTACAGTATCATACATACTCTGCCTTACAGTTACAGTATTATACTCAACCTTACAGTGTCGTACTCACCCTTGCACTATCCATTCAGGTCACACACTGTGTTCTACTGTGCTATCCAACACAGGGTAAACTGCCAACTCACAGTGCCCGCCCTCTCTGAACCGGCTCTGCCAATTCCTGTGGATACTGCTGGATCCGTCACCCTTTACTTCGATATAACCCAAATAACCGTAACGGGGTGCCAATATGACCACTAGATACCGAGTTGAGTGTATGTTCTGGCTCCTCCCTTGAGGTGACGATCACAGTGAGAGAGCACGTGAGTCGCTGGTCGAATGTGCTAAAGCCATCCAATCTTATAGATGCCCTCAAGACCCATAGAAGGGACCAGTTTATAGGTGAGAGCAAGCCGCCACTGTTGGCATTATTTTATTTTTCGGCCTTTCCCTATTGCTCAGTGTCCTTTCTCTTCACAAACTTCCTTATATTATCTTGCACCAATGTCAATCCCCCATGAATGACCTCCGCTTACCTCTGACCAGAATGGATAAAGGGCCTCCTGGCTGTTCCATTTGTGCTGCACTCCCAGCCTACAGGTGTCTTCGAAGCACGAGGCACCGTGGCCGACATGGCAGCTGAAGCCTGCAGACGCTATGCTGAGATCATGAAAGATGTCGAGGAAATGATAGATGATCACAGTATGTCTATATACCCTTGTTACTCGTCGACCTGATACGTGTTATTCATGAGCTTATGCCTCCAACCACTGTCCAGTCAACCACCAAGATGACGGCCTCCAACACCAATCAAAGCTCAAGCTTCTGGTTCCTAGCATTGGCAACTTTTTTACTCGGCTCCCTCTGGCAGAGGCATTCAAATACCAGGATAGTCTACGGTTCATCTCGTCAAGGCGCTTTGTGCCACCCTCATTCAACGATATCCGCCTTATCCTAAATACCGCTCAGATCATGGGAGTTGCAGCAGCTGGCGCCTTAGATTTGGCTACATTCGATGGTGATGTGACTCTTTATGATGACGGGAAGAGCCTGGAACCGGATAATCCTGTCATCACGCGAATCATAGGTTAGTCAGTTATACGGTTGATCCGGAGTCATATAGCCCGTGCAGTTGTTAAGTTTGGCATTTTAGACCTCATGAGCAGAAACACCAAAATTGGTATTGTCACAGCAGCGGGTTACACGGAAGCCGAACGCTATTTTGAACGCCTATATGGTCTTCTTGAAGCCATCAGAGACTCCAAAGTTCTAACTATCGAACAAAAACATAATCTCGTTGTCATGGGTAAGTGCTCTCGTTATCTGTGACCCTCTCTGTGACCTTCTAACGAATCTAGGGGGCGAATCAAACTTCCTCTTCGAGTATTCCATCTCTTCGCCTCATCTACTTGAATGGGTCCCACGCCGTTCCTGGATCCTTGATGATATGCTCACCTGGTCGGAACCCGTCATCCAAGCGCTCCTCGACAAAGCCGAAGCCGCCCTCAATGAGTGCATTACGAATCTCTCCCTCTCTGCCCTTGTCATCCGCAAAGAACGTGCAGTCGGAATCGTACCCACTATTCAGGGTGCTAAGTTTCCACGCGAGTCCCTGGAGGAGACAGTGCTTGTTGTGCAGAAGATTCTCGAGATGTCTCCTGTCTCAAAGACTCTCCCTTTCTGTGCTTTTAACGGTGGCAACGACGTCTTTGTTGATATTGGGGACAAGAGCTGGGGAGTTCTAGTCTGCCAAAAATATTTTGGGGATAGGCTTGGTAGAAGTATTGAAGGGAAGAGAACGATGCATGTTGGCGACCAGTTCCTTTCAGCGAATGGCGCAAACGATTTCCGCGCGAGAAGGGTTGCTACTACATTGTGGGTGGCAAATCCAGACGAATGCGTGACCTTATTAGACGAGGTAGCAGAGTTTATGAGGGCGGCGGAGCGGAAGAGAGTTTGACTGTTGACCATACCCAAAACTTGAGGATGGAATGGACATGAGATGTTTGAGGAATTGTCTTGTTAGACCAATTGCGAAAGCTAGACCCATTGTACGCTTTACAGCTTGCTTGTCTCATACTGTCCAAAGTTTGGCTGTGATTTCGGTTTAGTTATTATAATTGTTCCATGACACTGGTGCAATGCTACGTAACGATATCAAATAATATACAGTAAAACCAAACGCCGCACGAAATCTCCCAGAAGGTGGATCCAGCCGCATATTTTACCGACTCCACCACCCCATACGCCTTGATAGTATAACAAGCTCGCTGACTTCAATTTGCTGCACCGTGTCTGGAGATTGTGCAATGATGCAAATCCGTGTCGTCGTGCTTCCAGCTCTTGCCGTTTCCTCGTATTAACGCGTCCGTCCTTCAGACTCTTACATATCATCAGATGCGAAATGATACTCCTCCCATAAAAATGCATAATCCTCCAGAATACCTCCCACCAAGCCCGGCATGTACTTAGCACCCACCAAGCTTTGCACCCAGCCTTTCGTCACATTCTCATAGAACGCACCTCTCAACGTCCACCAACCCATAGCCCGCCCTCTCCTATTCCATTCTTCTTTCTCCAGCGCTGTCTCCCGCGTTCCATTACGCCCTCTCTCAGCTCGCAACTGTCTCGCAGAGAGTTCAATGGCGATCGCAAAAAGCCATGGCCGCCAGCTCTTCTTGTCCTTGTTTCGCGACATGGCGATGGCGTATAGTACTGGTCGAAGGATATGGAGAACCTCTGCGAGATGTGCCGTTCCAGAGATGCGTGACAGGAGAGTCGTGGCGGGCTTGATGTCATCAGCGGTCAGAACCTTTCGCATGAGAAAGCTGCTGATATCACTGGGGCTCGGTAGAGCCGGGAGAGTTAGACCGGTCCGCGGCATTGACCATTCCTTTGGCTTCTTCTCCTCTTTGACAAAAAACTCATCCTCCCCATACTCTAACTCGTTGTCATCTGTAGGCTCCTCTGGGATCGGCTCCCGGTCGGGTAACGGTGGGACAACCATGCGCCCGCCAGTTATACGCAAGAGTAACAGTCGGCAGAAAGCCTTCAGCGCTTCTATGAGTACCACAACTCGCCATCGGACTTTCTCCCCGCGTCGTTTCGCGGTCATCTCCCACAACAGCTCCGTATACTGCGCGCATTGGAGCACCAATGCAACCCTTGTATATACCTTCGACTTCCCTGTCCAGTATTTCGTATACCGAGTATGGGGATTATCGACACGCGGCATGCCAGGTAATCTTGCGACAGCGCGAGCTAATAGTGAGTCGTGATATAGTGAGAGCAGCTGGATAGAGGAATGAAGAGATTCCGAGGCAATCTCAGCGTCGCGAAACCGGCCAGGGATGATGTAAGTGAGGCTACGGAGTGCCGATTCGATTTGCGCAACAGAGGACGCATTTTTGAGAACGAATCCAGAGTAGAGAGAGGGCCATTCATGTGGCATAGGGAGGTTGGCGTGCAAATGGTTCGGAACGGATTTGAGCATAGACAGGATTGAAGGTGAGTTCGCGTCGACGCCCTCGGGTAGCTGGGACTGCATAACTGAAGGCTGAGGAGGCTGAGACGCCGTATATACAGATTCCGAAGCGTGCGTATCTGTAGGATCGGATGTTGAACGTGGTGGAGTAGGAGGAAGCGACACGGAAATCGAGGGTGAGGCGGTAGGCGCAAGAGCGCTATCGTATAAATCCGTCGTGGCCATCAGATTGAAGATGCGTAAGGATCTAACCTTCGGGATGGCAGAAGTAACAGTGGCATGAAATGACGGTTATGTCGTGGAGATGCATCATAATGAGAGAGCGAATGCTGGGACAAAGGGTCGTGCCGAGGCAGTGGTTAGTTCCGAACCTGACATACTAGGCATACATTATTCACATGGATATGAGGGACTGCCATCCTCTCAGACCTTCTTATGGAAGTGCCATGGTAATTTCGCAAGCCTTTTCCTAACAGATTCGAGATATAATTTCATTTCCTGAAGGATAAGGGTTATAGATTTAAAGATGGACAAGATGTTTAATGGTAGTGTTGCAAACTTGCTACTTTATCAATAAAAGTAACAAATATGTTTTGAGAGTTGCGTCTTGTCAGGGTTACCAAGTAATCAAAGGATATAAGAAGGAGTCTCTCAATGTAATGGTCATGATGTGCAGTCTCTGTCACAGAACTTCATATCTTACAGAGTTTCGTATCTTTATATCTCTTTTTTCTCCTTCAAATCAGTCAATGTCTCCTGTTTCCTTGGGTCTTTCAATCCCACAAAAACAAACCCAACCACTACCATCATTGCCACAGCACCACTCTGGTACGCAATATTTCTGCCTGCCCACCAGTAAAGACTGCAGAATGCCAATGGCCCGATCGCACGCCCAATCTGACCCCAGCTCCTTAAATTTCCCAATTTCCCGCCTCTCTCACCTGCACCGGCTTCAAAGCTGCTTAGGGCGTTAAGTCCTGTTACTACAGTCGCCGTCGTCACTGCCAATAATGTAGATGCAGCATATAATCCAACAACAGTAGTGGTGGTCGAGAGAATAATGAAAGCAATAAGGCATGACACCACCCCAAGGCGCACGCAAACGAGTGGAGGGAGTCGCCGAGTGACGCCGCCCTGAAGGATAGAAGCGATGAGGCCAATGTAACCAAGTAGCCGACCATTAGAACCGGCGCTGTAGTGAAATAGGTCATGCGTCATGAAGGGAAGAGAGAATTCCATGCCAGAGAACACAAGGATAAACATAAGATGAGTGCTGTTGAGCAGTAGATGCGAATTGGTGCGGATTGGCGCCTCTGGAGTTCCTTTTGGCTTCGACGAAGGGCCCGTGGTTGGAGTTGTACCCGTCGTAATAGCTGGGAGCGTCTCTGGGAGATAAAAAAAAAGGTAGACCGTTTCGACCACGATGAGGAAAAGTGAGAAGCCGGCCGCTGTTGCGAACGGATTTGCGGCCACAAGCGATATGGTGCTGAGATAGGCGCCAAGGGCTGGACCAAAAGTAAAAGCTATACAAAAACAGGCACCCACCAAGGCCATTGTCGCTCCTCTCTGCTTGTCGTCACTAATATCCGTGGCTATCGCAGTTGCGATCTGCACATTGCCTTCACTCAACCCTCCCACGACTCTACTCAGTAAGAAGGTTCTAAAATCGGTGGCCAGAAGCCATAACAGCACGCTCGCAATATTTCCACACATGCTGATTAGCAGGGCTTTCCTCCTGCCGTACTTATCAGACAAGGCCCCGATGATGGGGGCAGCGATTGCCTGGAGGCCTGAAAACAGAGAGCCAAGTGCGCCGCCGAGTATCACGATATCATAGCGAGAGTCGATGGGACGGGAGAATGCGTTCTTGTACGAATTAAGAGAACGCAAAACGCTCGTTAAAACGGTGGGAGATGATTCAATGTCGGTTGGTTCCAAGGAGCGGTAGAACTCCAGTAATCGAGGAAAGAGAGGAAGGATGAAGGTGAAAGATATCTAGCGCAGCACTTAGCCTTTGTTCAAACCTAAACATTGTGGTAGGGACATACAAGATCTAGTAGAAGAGAAATGAAGACGACCTTCAAAACCCGGCTGCGGAGCACTGGGTCGATAGTAGTTGCCATGTTCGCCGTTTGGACAGGCAAGGTCTTTGAATCTGCTTTTCGGAGACTGGCGTCAACAGCACCAACGTAATACCACCACAGGTTAGACCTAAGGTCTTGCAATATCAAAGAAACAATCTTAACATATTAATTAGTACGCGTTCCAATTCATAGGATATGAAAGCAGAATGAAGCAATGAGATTCGGTATCTGCCTTGAAACGCGTTCGTGTCCCATATCAACACAATACTCCACTCGGATTATTATTCTTCCTTATCTGGGGATACTGCCGGCGCCACGTACAGCATCAGTGGAGCACAACTCGTCATTACAGCCAGTCACCCACGTACCACCACGTGCACACCACGCTGTCTGACTATATTGAGGAGGAAACCAGGAAAGAAAACCAGGAAAGCACTTGCCATCCATTACTAGAAATAAGTGGTCTTTGCTTGAACCTAATCAATATTTTCCCCTACACATCACAGGGAGATTATACTACGCCGATGACCCCCGTGTGGGGATATAATTTATAGGCCGACTTCGACACTGGAATATCAGCCCTTGGAAAGGAAAGGACGCAGAAATGGATTCAAAAAAACACAAGATAATGCCCGCAAAGAAACGCACAGGGGCCTTTGATGGTTTTGATGAACCTGAAAGCAAAAGGCCACGACTCCTCCCCCATGAGGGAGCAAACTGCAACTCTGATGGGGACATGATTTCATGTCTTTCAGATGAAATCCTCATTAGAATTTTACAATTTCTTCCTGTTACTACGGTACTTCTATGTCACGGCGTATCAAAGCGATGGCTAGCATTAAGCACCGACGGCGAGGTGTGGCGAAGCCTCTATTGGGATCGGTTTGTTCGGCCAAGTGTTAGGAAAAGAGATGGGAAAGATGCCAATAAGGAAGATTATTGGGTAAAGCAACAAAAAACTAAACATCAAAAGGGCCTTGATCCTACGGGAGGCCATGTTGAGAAACCCACGGTGTCGCGCATAGACTGGAAGGCCAAGTACCGATTAAAGCATAACTGGAGTCGAGGTTCTGCAGATGTGAGAGAAATTGGATTGGTGGCAGACGGACAGGGGATGGATACTCACCCAATAGGACAGGAGGACAAGAATCCAGACACAGGGAGCTTGATGGTTAGAATTGTCGATGGAAAAGTAGTAACCGTTGACCATTCTAGTGGCCTCCGTGTGTGGGATTTACAGAGGAATGGCGCGAGCAGCAAATGTATTGCACGAGTGGATCTCGATAATGATTCCCAATCAGCACCCACTGCTTTGGCACTGGACTATACTTTAGAAACTGGCGCGGTGAGAGCCGCTATTGGCTTCAAGAATGGCGGGTTTGGAATTTGGAAGTTTGATATCACATCGGTGGAGATGGACGGAGTCTTCTTGAAGATATTATCGAGGTCCGGGTCGGGTGAGGAGGGTGCCTCGCTGGTTGCTGCCGCTTATTCTCACCCACATCTACTAACAGTTACAGAGGACCAGGCCTTGTCCTTATATATCCTCGAAGACAAAGCCGCCTCTAAATCATGCACATCAATTTGCGACGTCGATGTATTGGAGGCCCCAAACAGAACCTTCTCTACAGGTGACAAACCTCCAACTAAGACCATGTCTACACGACTTATTACCTCGCTCAAGTCTCAGACTACTTGGCCTCCACTTTCACTCTCAATAAGGGCCACTCCAAAAACAATAATAGCTTCGATAGCCTATGCACTACCTACTTACTCTAGTGGCTGGTCTGTTGGTCTCCAAGAACTTCACATTTCTCACAACGGTACTATTTCGCACTCCCGCCTCGCGTCTGCGATAGAACCGGGCTTCCATCCTCTATTGTCACCGATATCCTCTTCAGCCGAGAATTCACCATCAACGTCCAGCTCAGCTCCTAATGCTGCCGGCCCTGGAAGGCCGCCCACCAATCCACGGCCATCTAGCCTCAGCTACTCTCACCCTTACCTTTTGGCGAGCCATTCGAACAATACGCTCGCACTCTATTTGGTGACATCAACGCTGGACGATCTGAAGATCAGTGCAGCGAGGACGCTCTGGGGGCATACATCATCTGTGTCAGGCGCACATGTGGGAGTACGTGGCAAGGCAGTCAGCATAAGTTCCGGAGGAGAGGAGCTCCGTGTGTGGGAATTAGAACGAGGGCTAAGGTCACGGAGAGTAGTGAATGAGGAAAGTGTGCGGGTGCGCGGAGAAGCGCATACCACAGGAACAGGAACAGGAACCGGCAGCGTTCAGACAACGAACAGAGGGGACTGGATAGGGTTTGACGACGAGGTTGTGGTTGTCTTGAAGGAGGCTGAAGATGGAGGGAAGGCACTGGTGGTGTATGACTTTACGTAAGATCAAGGCGACGGACAACGATGTGTAGCAGTAAATGTATATCAGTAAAGACGAAACTGCTAACGCCCTTTCCGCACCATAATATGCAATTTATTTCAAGTTTGTATGTCACAAGGCGGCAGCCCTGTTTTAGTGGCTGTCTAAGGTTACCTACTTTCTTTTGTATTTGCCTCACTTATCTGTAACTTGGTAACTTTTGTAAATTTGGGTACCTACCATACTATGTACGTACAAGAGTAGGTATGATTTATCTGTATGATTTATCGGTATGGTTTATTGGTATGATTTACCCGATTCGACACTCTAGGTAGCCAGGCGGCTCTCGCAGGTACTAAATCTGCAAGTAGCCTAGTGTTGTGGATTTTGGAACCCGGCTAGATCACCAAATTTTTATCCCATTTATACACGCGCAGTGACGCGGGAGAGAGGTTGGGCCCATACATGGCGTGGTGGGGATAAACAGATAGGTTAACGACTGTCCGGCGCGCATACCGCGCATACCTCTACTGTCGCCACCAAACTGATGCGGCTCTTACTCTACACCCCAAGCCTAAACATTACACATCGCCAGCACATCCGATCCGTATACCCAATAACCCGCCCCTTAGATCACCCACTGAGGTATCTATTCGCCAGTATTCGCCAGCCCGCTGCACTTGCCTGAGCACACCCCATTCAGCCTTGCCTCGTCTTATCTTGCCTGATTCTGCCTTATTTTGACTCGTCCTGTGGCGTGACCAATGTAAAGGCCGCCCTGGAAAGTAAAGGAAGTATCGGAAAGGCTGAGGAAGAGGAAGGAGGAAAGGCGGAGGGCGAAGGAGGAAGGAGGAACGTAGAGCCTCATATTTCCCATGTCGCCACCATCATTCCCTACTACATGAACACTTATACACCCGATTACCTTCTTTCTCTTTCCCGCTCGGCCTAGACTGGTCTTGCCCTGAGTAAGGTAGCTCCTGCCATTTAAGACGAACTTCTGGCCGATCTTTTCGGCACCTTCTTTCTCCCAAATATGGCGTTCGCCTCGCACATATCCCCTCTAGAGGCCTATGTCTCTCCTGATGAACTAGCCGATGAGTTGGTCTTCCAAAAAACTCTTCTCCTTACACTTGATAAGACCACGGAGGGATCTGAACAGGCCGAAACAGACATCAAGGCTGAGATCGCCCGTATTGAGACGCAATTGAGGGCACTTCGAGGAGGGGTAACAGGACCGCACATTGGCGCCTCGGTGCTTGGGGGGGATATATCACAACAACAACAACATACAAACAACTTTGGATCCGCCTCTCCCTTTTCCAATTACAACCCTACATCCACTGACCCGTTTTCTTGTGAGTTATTCTGCATATTCCCTCGTCGCAAGTATCCGCGCCAGCACTTCCTCCCATTCATCTCGGACCCTTAACTAAACTCCCATTCCTTTACACCGTTATCTTCGCATCTCCAGCTGACGATGCCTTACAGCCAACACAATGGACCCCTCTCACCCGCCATCAGGCTCGGCTTCTGGGTCTACAGCAATCAAAGATCCAAGTGCAAACTTCAGCCTACCATCTAGAAAAAGATCGTTTGAGGGGCTGCATGGACTGGATAGCTCGCGAAAGACTGGAAGCAAGTCAAGGCGTACTTCTCCAAACCCGTCGACTGGTGCTTCGACCTCATACGCTACCACCTACACCGACCCTGTCACCCGTGAATTGGAGTTGCACAAGATCAGACAGAGGGAAATCGAAGAAGCAGCAGCAAAATTGAAAAAGGATAGAGAGTATGCGCGCCACCTCCAAGATGGGTACTCTGCTTCTTCACCTTCTCAATCTGAAATCCGTCCTGTTGCATCAAAGAGGCCCTCTGCTTATGATCGTATGATGGGAATTTCACATCACCCACCCCCATCAAGATCCCAGAAAAAAGACTCTCAAAATACAAACTCCCAGGATAACGAAGTTCCAGCTGCCACACAAGGCTCGCAGCCAGGTCAGAGACCTCATGTTCATCAATCTGTGAATCTGACGCTTAATGGTCCGGCGTCTCACTCTACACTTAGCTCAAACACTCCTTCTAAAATGCCGGGCTCTTACCCCGATCAAGACAGTGATTCAGACATTGAAATCATTTCCTCGGCCGACTTCCGTGAGAATAGGCGAGGGCACCATCTGTCGAGATCGCCACACCCCACCAATGTAGGTTTTGGAAGCTACCTATCATATACACGCCAGGGTCCACCTTCTACCCTGCCCTATTTGGGTGGATATCCTAGTAACAATAGTTACTATCCCAACGCCTATGGACAATCGATTAGCGGTGCATATCCAAGCATGGCATCCCCGGCGATGGATGCTCCACTGGCACAAATTCTTAACCAGACCAGCGCTGTTGATTACGTTGCTATGCGAGATAGATTGAACCAAGGTCTAGCTGGGGAGATCTATAACTACGTCACCGACCCGCGAAAAACAGAGAAAGAAATACAAGATCTCTTGGAGAACATTCGACCCGACACCGAGATACCTGTAGAGGATAGGGAGGGCACACCGGAGGGTCTTAAATATCCGTTATATGAACATCAGAAACTGGCACTTACGTGGCTGAAATCGATGGAAGAGGGTTCCAACAAGGGCGGTATCTTGGCTGATGATATGGGCCTCGGAAAGACAATTAGCACTCTGGCGTTGCTGTTATCCCGTCCTTCGCATAACAAGGCGCGGAAGGTATGTTTCCTATTTCTTTATTCACCATAGGCCTGCTGGTCTCCGTGACACTTGTACTAACGTGTATAGACTACTCTTATTGTTGGCCCTGTCGCTTTGATAAGGCAATGGGAGCGTGAAATACTTTCTAAGATTGTATCTAGTCATAGGCTCAGCACGTTTGTTTACCATTCAGGAAAGAAGGCGACTTGGTCAACTCTCCGTACGCATGATGTGGTGTTGACAACATACGGAACACTCGCTGCTGAGTACAAAAGATACTTGGACATCGAGAAGAGAAAAGAAGCCCACCCTGGCATGGATGACACGCCTTACCAGTCAACCCTTCCTTTCTTGGGAAGGAACTCTAGGTGGTACCGTGTAGTCCTAGATGAAGCTCAATGCATCAAAAACAGAAACACCAAGTCGGCTCAGGCTGCTTCTCTGTTAGATGCCGAGACAAGATTCTGTCTGACAGGAACCCCGATGATGAATGGTGTCCACGAGTTATATAGCTTGATACATTTCTTAAAAATCAAGCCTTACAATGAATATAGCAGATTCTCATCCGTAAGTAGCTCTCTCACTGGGTACAAGGTTGATCTAACATTTACCAGGAGTTCTCCTGCCTAACGAAAGGCACCGGCTCCGAGTACAATATGAAAAGAGCTATGAAGAAACTCCAGGCAGTCTTGAAGGCCATCCTTTTACGCCGAACCAAGCAATCTCAGATTGATGGGAAGCCAATTTTGGTTCTGCCTGAAAAGACGGAAGTGGTTTCAAATGCCATATTCAACGAGGACGAACAGGAGTACTATACTTCACTAGAGAAGAAGACCCAGCTTCAGTTCAACAAGTACCTCAAAGCTGGTACAATCGGCAAGAATTATTCTAATATCCTTGTCCTCCTTTTGAGACTTCGCCAGGCCGCCTGTCATCCTCATCTCATTATGGACTATGAAGAGGCCCCCACAGAGGCAACTGCAGAGGAGATGCTCAATCTGGCGAAAACTCTTCTCCCAGATGTTATTGGTCGTATCATGGATGCAACAGTTCCATTTGAGTGTCCCGTCTGCTATGATCCAGTTCCAAATCCCAGTATTGTGGTACCTTGTGGCCATGATACTTGTGCACAATGCCTCGTCAGGATAACAAGCAGTTTTGACCAGGCTATTGCCAACGGTGAAGACTCGACATCAGCAAAATGTCCCACCTGTCGTGGCGCGGTCGATTTCAAAAAAATCATCGACTACGAAACATTCCAACGCGCTCACATGCCCAACTCTGAATCTCTGACGAGCAACGCTGATGACATTGATGATGGAGATAGCGACAGCTATGATTCGGACTCAGATTCGGACTCAGATAGCGGACCTGAAGAGACTGACGAGAACGGTAACATTAGGGACTTCATTGTTCCTGATGATTATGAGACTTCTTCTGACGAAGATGATGACCTCGAGACGAGAGCAAAGGAAACCAAACCGAAAATAGAGGTCGATTGCAAGAAGGAGGCCATAAAATATGAGGAAGAGGGCAAGGAAGCTCTTTCTAAGATGCTGGGAGCTAGTGATGGAAGCGATGATGACTTGCCTGCCGATATTTTCGCAACCTTTCGTGGCCAACCAAAGCGAGAAGATGAGAAGAGCCAGTTGGCCAGCAAATCAAAGCCACTAGGAAGCAAGGATGTTTCCAAAGACAAGTCGAAGAAATCTCATCGGTCGAAAAAGCTGCCCAAGAGGAAGAAGACTGGGAAAAAGTCAGAGGACAAGCACGTATCATTGGCTGAGCTGAAAAAAAAGGCATCCAAAAGCGCAGATGGCTGTCGTCAGTATATGCGTTACCTGAAGAAGAACTGGGTTTCCTCATCCAAGATCGATAAATGCATGGACATCCTGCGAAATTCGGCTCCTGATGTTAAGACGATAATCTTCAGTCAATTCACCACACTACTTGATCTTATGGAAGTTCCCATCCACAGTGAAAGGATTGGATTTGGGCGTTACGATGGAGGTATGAGTGCAGACGCACGTAATAACGCCATTGTCAGATTTACCGATGATCCGAGGTGCAAGATCCTTCTGGTCTCGTTGAAGGCTGGCAATGCAGGACTAAACCTAGTTGCTGCCTCACAAGTAATTATTCTTGACCCATTCTGGTAGGACTATACAAGCCATGTTCGTGCGGACTTCAACTGATTATTATATAGGAATCCATTTGTGGAAATGCAGGCTGTTGACCGTGCACATCGCATCGGGCAGCAGAAACCGGTCAGTGTTCATAGGATTTTGGTGGAGGGTACTGTGGAAGATCGCATCATTGAGCTTCAGAATCGCAAGCGCAAGTTTGTCGATGCCGCCCTGGATGAGAATGCCAGTCGCAGCGTTGGTAGGCTGGGAAGGGACGAGCTTGTCTTCCTTTTTGGTAACAACGATGGTCCAAGTCGTGCTACGATGGACCGACCTCGCGTAAGTCATGATACTGGAATAGTCAATCGTAGTGGGCTTGGTTCGAATACTCAGTCCTTTCGCTCTGATATGCCCGTTTACGCTTCTCTTGGAGGTTCGGGTTCGTCGTCGGCATTCTCTTCATATTCTCGGTAGGAAGGTTTATATTGGGCGTCAACTCATGCTATGCATGTGTTTATTTGCAGATGCATTTCACATAGCTTGGCGTTGGGCAGGTTATTTTGCTTTTACAGAGATACCCACAGTACCGCGTTGCTGGGAGGGGATTTTTTACACCAGAACAGGGCATCTATTTGGCGTTTACTATTGTAGGACCACAACCTCCGATTAATGATAACTTAGTTGAGAGGTATCTCCATGCCCAGTCTGTTTTTTTAGCAAGGTGTCTCTCTAATGATACGCACGAGAGAAGTGCAGAGCATTGTAGTATATATAGAGAGTAGCCTATGTGACTTTTATAAACATGACCCCTGTAACTCCGATAAACTACTGACGCTCATCATATACTCGGGAATAGTGTGGTGCTCCAAGCTTTGAGGTGGTTTGGAGGGAAGCTGGCTGAACGAGACCCGTTTATCCGTGCCTGTGCCTGTGCCTGTGCCTGGACTCACGGAAGATTGTCGGCCCTTTTCATGAGCTTGACCTTGTCCATACCCAGAAACAAACATCAACGTGGATCAATAACTTGATATTTTTTTGGATTGGAATCCAAAAGTATATATTGTTTCTTTCCAAGATTTTCACAGCTGCTGTCCTTGCAATATACCCAGCAGTTTGCTCTGCGCTCCTTGTGCTTCATTGTGCAACTATCCGTCAAGATCTGTGATTAACCGCAGGCAACAACCACCCCACCGACAGTACAAGCCAGGCAGTCCAAAACACCACCAAATTTGCAACATCTTCACACAGACACAGAGTGCTTCCTTTCCTATCACCTGCATCTACAAGTCGATTAGTGGCACCTACATCAATATCCCCAAGTGATTGGGACTGGTTGTCAATTGACAAACCGTCGTTCACAACCACAGCAGACGATAGCATAAGTATCGGGAGACGACGTCCAACATGCAGTCCATGCACCGACAGTTGGGGAAGATAAAACCTAAAGGGCCAGATGATGCCAAAGTGTCGGTTCTCTTGCAGGACTTCACCAATGTAGATGAAGTATTGACGAGCGTGAGTTCCCTGACCAACTTATCCCGCCGGAGACCTTGGTTCAAAGCTAACTCGCACAGATCGTTCACACCTCCAGGGCCTGGAGAGATGCGTGGTTATCAATACTGGCTTTACAACTGAATGCAGTAACCGTTTTCGAGGAGATCTACAACCCGATAGTTGGAGCCACGTCGGAAGGGCACGGACACGATGCCATCATGACCCCCCAGACCATGTTGACCAAAACGAAGAATCTGAAGGAGGCATACGCCGAACTTAAAGCAGACCTGCTGGAGGAATTGAACTTGGTAGATCCAAGGATCATCCGGCCTGCCACGGAGGTTTTAGAATGCATTAAGCCGATTAAAAAAACTATAAAAAATCGCGAGAACAAACGAATAGACTATGAGAGCTACCAGGACCGTGTCGACAAAAAGAGGAGGCAAAAGCGCTCTGAAAAAGAAGAGGCGGGTTTATTAAAGTTGGAAGCAGATATGGGGAAAGCAGCTGACGTGTGTACTTCCACAACTACCAATCCCGTACAAACCTCTTTAACTTCTATAGGATTTTCATTACGCTGACGATCGTCTACGTGAGAGCCTGCCCCCTGTAATCGCAGCAGCATTTTCTATTCTCCCGCACATCTTGGCTGCTCAGATTTTGATACAAAACACACTTCTCGCTCAGTACTACACCACGCTCCACAACTATTGCACAGAGGAGGGGTTTCCCTCTCCTGCACCGCCTACGCAGGACATAGTGGGAGAATGGGATAGTGATTTCAAAAGAATCCAACAAGATGTGGAATCTATAAACACCATTGCCCGAGGAAAGGCGATACATGCTCCCATGGTGCTTGGCGATGACTCAGAAACTCGCCGAGGCTCGTCCATGTCTGGCCTTAACTTAAGAAACAACCTCGCAGCGCGAAGATCAAATACGCAGAGCAGTCTCCCGTCGATGAGCCGCCTTGGTGGTAAACTTTCTGCCGGGGCATCGCGCCTTTCACCCTCGGGTCACAATTCTGGCAGCCCGCAGGCACCGGAGCCGCAACGAGAATACGACGAACCTGAGGTGGAGAGAAACAATCCATCTTCACACGCTTCCACTCCGTCATATGCTCCCGCTGGTCCCGTTCGAGATTATTTCCAAGGTCAGGACTCCCAATCGGCTAGGAATATGTCGTCCGCAATAGCAGCGAAGAAAAAGGCTCCACCGCCTCCTCCAAAGCGCATCCAGTCGTCCAACGAACAGTGGGTTACAGCACTGTATACTTTCACTGGCCAAGAGAGCGATGATCTGGCGTTTGAAGAGGGTGATCGGATCAAGGTCATCAAGAAAACCGACAGTACCGATGACTGGTGGGACGGTGAATTACGAGGCGTCAGAGGTAGGTTTCCTGCAAATTACGTCGAGTTATAAGAACTCCGGCTATCTAGAGATGCTATGAGGCATGGCCTATTGGCAAACCACCCATTCGTGAGATATAGTTCTTAATATCACACATGCCAATCCTTCATTATATTCTATGACATACAAAAATCGATGCTCACATAGCTGCACGTAAATGCCCGACCCAGCTCACAATACGGATCGCCTCCGTCACACCCCTACTTCAAACCAGGAGCCAGGAAACTCAGTTGTGGCTACTATGGTATAGGTCCAGCTTGCACATCGAATATCTCATTTCTCCAGCCTTTTACTTCGTTGTCTTCAACTCTCTCGCCCGCTTCATGTGCTTCTTCCTGCCACAGTTTTACAATACTGCCCGGTGCATAGACACCAGCGAAGACATTTCCCTGCTTATTGGCCCCTCCGACAACTCCGATATTGGTGTACAAATCTGGATCTTCCTCTGGAGTGAGTCGAGTAATTATGGCCCGAACAAAGGTATGAAGATCTTTAGGGTCCGAAATCCTAGTTGCTCTGAGACGCTCACGTGCATACACAAGTTCTCTGTTTGCTGCGTGTATTCCATCCTCAATTGTACTACTTAACTTACGCTCGAGAACTTTTCGAATGATACGGCGAACAATCGGCTTAAAAATCCACGCCAGACATGCGAACTTGGACCTGCGCAAGGAGTAGTTGAGATGGTGTATCTTGACTTTGACGTTTCGCAGCGAGAGAATTTTTTCGATGTGGCCTTTCCCAATTTCGAAGTGTATTGCAATATCGATGCCGCGGTCATCAAGCTCCAAAGAGGCAATGCCTTCGTCGGCGAGCCTGAGTAAACCTTTATGGGCACGCAGCCAGAACCCTACTTCATCTGCCCGTATTGACAACCCTTGTAGGTTTACTGTCACAAGGGTGGTTAGGCTGGAGGCTGTGTGATACCGAGCTTTGTGAATAGTAATGTCGTTATTTGTATTTATATTCAGTTTGAATGGCAAAAATGAAGTATGGTTGATGGTTCGCCCAGGCTCCAGAATCAAATTTTCAAGGAGGAGGTCGATCTCCGGTGCTGACACTTCAAGTCGTGGTATCGGAATATATTGAACGGCTTGGATTAGAAGGGGTACAAAGACGCTGTATGTGTCCACAAGAAGTTCATCGTTGGTTCCACCCTGTACGGGTGAAAGAATAGCCCATACATGGAGACTATTCCTGAGAATTTTAGAGATGTCATCGTCATCAGCGACCTTCTCGCAAGTAAGCCTGGCCTGCTCTAATAACCCATCGATATCTCGTCGTAGAGGTGAAGGTGCTGTACTTCCTGTGCGGCTCCATTTTGCATCTCCGCTATTGTAATTAGCTGACTCGAAGAAGCCTGGGTTCATTAAAATATCTTGGATGGATGATGCCATGTCGCCCATAAGACTCTCGAATTCTCCATCCGTCTGTGAATGTTCAACAACTTTCTTAAATCGCCTTTCAAGCTCATCCCAGGTTTCCTTTTTGCCAAACGAGCTCAAGAGCTGCCAGCCAAGCCTTACAGCTCGATCGAGCTCCTCATTGGTCTCAATATCTTCCTGTATTGTACCAATGGTTTCATCCGCAGCACGGGAATATACTTTTGCATAGCGTTTGATTAGAAGCCCTATCATAGAGACTGATTCCGAGTAATCATATCTTTTCCTTAGCTTTGTTACCGCGGATTTCAGCCGAAATAGCAAGCTATTTCTTTCTTCCCCGCTGAGTTTATCTTTCAAGCTATCTTCAGCTGCTTGACCGGTGGACTTAACGCCGTCGACAACTGAATCAGTGATCTCAGTAGCCTCGCTGAGAAGGTCACCCGTTGTCGGAACCGGCCATTCTTCGTTGCCTGGTTCTTTCAACGCCTGTGACTGCGAGTCTGGTGGCTCAATCTGCGTCGCTGCAATTTCCGCAGCCTCAGAGAGCTCATTCGCTGTGTCTGCAAGTACTTGACGCCCAAGCACATTTAAGTCTTTAAGAAACATTCTAAAGTCCGAGTTTGTTAGAAGTAAACTTCCTATGGTCTTGATACTCTCGTATGCTAGATGAAGTTAGAATATGCGTTTGCCATCCAGGCTCATTGCATACTTACCATTGGAGGCATCTAGGCGGACATTTGTGCTTGTAGCGGCCTGGATAACATCGTCTGTATCAAGGGAAATCTTTGCGCGAGATGCCGCCCAAATAAAATCTTGGATCTGGTCCTGACCACTCTTGTTGCGTAACATCTCAATAAAATCATACAACCACTGCTTCAAATACTTCAGCAGCAGCCTGCTGCTTCTATTTAGTCCGGGTACATCCGGATTAAGGACATCGGAGGCAATGAGGGTTCGGAGGTTAACTATTAGTTGGTCGGTAGATGGCATATATCCCATCCCAAGTGCTCGAACCATCTGATAGGAATGAAGTTTCTGATGGATTCTCCGTTGAAGAATAGTACTGTCATTATACTGGGGGAGCAGTGGCGTCGTCTCCGAATCCCTCTTCTTTCGAAATGGGAAGCACGAAGACATGTTGAACGGCAGGTCCAGAGCTTCAGATGAATGTCGAACTGTATGGATTCGATATAAAGGGGGCAACTCAAAGGTTATATACAGCCGCCATGCGGACAGTGGAGAGGTAATAGGATGTCTGATGAAGCACTGGCCTGGGTTAATTGATGACTGCGAGATCTATGTAATGAATGACGGCGGCGGCAGCAACAAAAATAACAGCGACGCCAACAGCGGGCTCTGAGCATCTCACCATCGTATATTCTGTGCGCGTTGTTGCGCGTGGGAAAACCAAGAAATTACGTCATTGCTCTATTCCTGCTCTAACCTCCCAAGGTATCACATGTATATCACGCTAACCGTTATTTCATGGGCCCTTGGGGCGTTATTAAAGTGGATCTTGAACATTTTCACAATTCAACCGATGTTTGTTACGTTTGCTCGAGGTAGACTCACATCACGAATCGACAGCTATTTGCCCACAAAAGTAAAGTTCGCATAGCGGCCATGGAGCAGAGAAGGGAACAGAGAAGGGAGCAGATGGTCAGAAGGCCTCTATACGGTACTGCTCTTTCGTTTGCGGCGCTTGACAAGTGCTAACATTCGGGTCCGCGCGTAGTGTATAACTTGCCATCGGATATCTTAACAACTTTGCAACAAAAGGACGGTGTTGTACCCGATATCCTAGAAGCTCAAGACATCGAGGCGAAGGCGGAGCACGACGGCACCAGAAGCGTTGGTGCAGCATCCACCACAGCATGCTCTCTATGTGACCAATCGTTTTCTACGGTGGAAGAGCAGCGGAGTCATATCCGGTCGGACCTTCACAGTTACAATCTAAAGCTAAAGCTACGAGGACTAGAACCTGTTTCTGAGACAGAATTTGAGACCCTCGTAAAAGGTTATATGCCATGTCTTTGTGGTATATCCCGAACCAGGCTAACGCTGTACAGACTTGGACGAAAGCTTATCTGGCTCTGATGAATCCGAATCTGATGACGATGAGGGTCAGGGAGGCCGTAACGAAACGACTCTATCTGCTTTGCTCAAGAAGAGAGCAGCTATATCTGCACAAGAGGGCGAGGGTGGCACCTATATGAACTCTCGGAAAGAGAGCTCCAGCAATCAACCACTTGTTTGGTTCACTAGCCCCACCGTGCCACCAAACTCATATTTGGGGATATACAAAGCTATTTTTACCGCCGAAGAACAAAACGACAATGGCAATTTTGTTGATACCATTAGGAAGAAGCAACTGTTGCCTAGGATGCCTACCAAGCATACCGACGATAATAGCGAGATATCAAAACTGGCAAGCGAGAACATAGGGCCACATATGTTCATGTGCATGATAGGAGGTGGGCACTTTGCTGCGATGGTCGTGTCAATGGTACCAAAGCAAAGCAGTTCTTCAGCAACTGGGCCATTGGCTAAAGAAGCAACCGTCATCGCTCATAAAACATTCCACCGCTACACGACTCGACGCAAACAGGGTGGCTCGCAATCGGCAAATGACTCCGCGAAAGGTGCGGCTCACTCTGCAGGCGCTGGAATAAGGAGGTACAACGAAGCTGCTTTGAATGATGAAGTTCGACTTCTTCTTGCTGAGTGGAAGAGTCTGATTGATACCTCTGAATTACTATTTGTCCGAGCAACGGGAAATACGAACCGTCGGACTCTCTTTGGGCCGTATGAAGGCCAAATACTCCAAGCCAATGATCCTCGGATTCGCAGTATCCCTTTCAATACTCGCCGTGCAACTCAGAAAGAGCTTATGCGCTCGTTTATAGAACTGACACGCGTCAAAATTCGAGATTTTGACGAGCAGTCCCTCGCCACCGCAGCTTCAGATGCAGTACCAAAAGCTAACACGATTCAAAACTCGACGAAGGCTCCAACTACAACCACAAAACCAAAGTTTTCCGACGAGGAGGAAACGTTTATTCTACACACTACACAGATTCAGGCCCTGATACGACGCTCCCGGCTTCCGGCCCTTCTTTCATATCTAAAAAGCAATTCTTTGAATGCTGATTTCAGATTCTTTCCACCAGACGCACCACAGAACTTTCACACACCAACACCACTACATTTTGCTGCCAGTCTTAACAATCCAGTGATGACAACTGGGCTATTGGTAAAAGCACACGCGAACCCGGAGTCCCTAAATTCGGAAGGTAAACCTCCTTTTGATTTGGCAGGCGATCGAGCGACACGGGACGCATTCCGCCTCGCGAGATCTCGCCTCGCAACAGTCTCACCTCCAGTCACTTGGGACTGGGAGAAGTCACATGTTCCATCGCCTCTGACCGATTGGGACGTAGAGACTAGAAGGGCGGAAGAAAGTTTGGGCCGGAAGAGAGAAGAGGAAGATAGAAGGAAGGCAGAAACTGAAAGGTTAAAGAACGAGGGCCCGAAAGTTGCTGAGTCAGGGCCGCTGGGGAAGTCTGCAAGCATGGGACGAGCTTTGGCAATGGAGGCAGCAAGGAAAACGGCGCAGGAGAAGCGGGAAGAGGAAAGTAGGGGTTTAACGCCTGAGATGAGAATGAAACTGGATAGGGAGCGGAGGGCGAGGGCTGCGGAGGAGCGGTTCAAAGCGATGCAGGCGAACTCAGGTCACACTTAGGTCTGGCTGCGTTGGTTGATCCTTCGATATATATACAGCATAGGTATTATATCATAGGTTATCATATCATAGGTATGCTATGGCAGCGTTATACTATGTTATGTTATACTCGAGAATGTATGTGAAGCTGTCACTGTAATTTATGTATAAGATACCTTAAAATAAGCGATACAGTAAGGCTATTTTATGTACTTTGTACTTTAGTACCTGCTTTGCTCTCCAAAATTTCGACTACCCCACAGTAACTTTGTACTGTTCTGCTGCGCTTGTACACACCCCACATCCGCCTTTTGAACCGAGCTGTTACCTTTACTCACCCACCACGCCTTCCATCGGCTACGGACGGTCATCGTGGGAGCCGAAAGCGTCAACGACCGACAGATATAAACCAAATCGCACGCTGCAGCAACTTGTCAGGTTTTTGCCATTGCACTCTTGCAACTTTGTACGTGTTATCGTATTTCATAGCACAGCACAGCGTGCTCGATATCCCAATGAGGTCCACAAACTATCCACGAGTTCTTGCGAGGAGAATCAAAGTTCCCCGCCAACGTTCTCATCTAAGCACCAAGCAGATCACCTCAGTTTTAATCGCCAACCGCGGAGAGATAGCTCTTCGTGTAGGTCGAACGGCTGCGGAGTCTGGTATTCGCTGCACGACGCTCTACACCGATCCTGATGCGCATTCCCAACATGCCCTCAGCAGCCCCTTCGCTGTTAACTTGGGACAGGCAAGCGCATACCTAGACGGCGAGCGCATTATCGCCGTCGCCAAGGAGCAGGGCTGCCAGGCGTTGCATCCCGGTTATGGGTTCTTGAGTGAGAACTCTGCGTTTGCAAAGAGATGTGTTGAGGAAGGTCTGGTCTTCATTGGACCGCCGTGGAAAGCGATCGAGGCTATGGGAAACAAGAGCCGCAGTAAGGACATCATGATAAAAGCAGGTGTACCGTGTATACCAGGCTATCACGGAGCGAACCAAGATCCTGAGAACCTGCTAGAGGAGTCGAGAAAGATCGGATTTCCAGTTCTGGTGAAGGCAGTCAGAGGAGGAGGCGGAAAGGGGATGAGGATCGCAATGAACGAGGCAGAGTTTCTGGACAAATTGGAGAGTGCCAAGAGTGAAGGCCGGAACTCATTTGGTGACGACGAGATGCTGGTTGAAAAATATATTACGACTCCTCGGCACATAGAAGTCCAAGTGTTTGCGGATAAGCATGGGAACGCCGTGGCACTGGGTGAAAGAGACTGCAGCTTGCAGCGGAGACATCAGAAGATTCTCGAAGAAGCACCCGCTCCAAACTTACCCGAGGAAATCAGACAGGACCTGTGGGAGAAGGCGCGGGCGGCGGCTTTGGCTGTTGGCTACGAGGGCGCGGGAACAGTTGAGTGTACGATCCACGTCTCTCGTCATCCATGGCACTGCATGCTAACTTCAATGTGCAGTTATATTTGACAATGACAGCAACCAGTTCTTCTTCATGGAAATGAACACCAGGCTTCAGGTTGAGCATCCAGTGACTGAAGTAGTTACTGGTGAAGACTTAGTCTCTTGGCAATTCAAAGTAGCCGCTGGCGAGCCACTGCCCCTTACTCAAGAAGCTATCGCAAAGCGAATTTCAGAACGAGGCTGGGCCATTGAAGCTCGCATCTACGCCGAAAACCCGGACCAGGACTTCATGCCCGATTCTGGCAAATTGACCCATCTTCGTACACCTCAGATCACAGACAATGTGCGCATTGATGCCGGCTTTATAGAGGGGGATACGATATCGTCGAACTATGATGGAATGATAGCGAAATTAATTGTCAGTGGGGCAACCCGTGAAATAGCCATACAGAGAATGTACAGCGCATTGCAAGAGTATGAGGTGGTTGGCCTGAGCACGAACATTGAGTTCTTGAAAAAGATATGCCTAAGCCCAGGTTTTGCTGCAGGCGATGTCGAAACGGGATATATCAAGAAGAATCACGATGAGCTGTTTGAGAAAGAGGCCGTTGAGAACACCTCCTTCGCACAAGCTGCCTTGGCACTTTTCACGAAAGATGCGGGGTCAAAGAGCCTCACCAAAGCTGGGCCTCACGGAAATGACGCTGATCTTACCACTATTCTAGGCGAGAGGCAGTTCCGATTCAGCTTGCTATCTAGCTCGGAACCTATCGATGTGACTGTCACGGTCAAGCAGTCCTCTAGAAATGTATTCGAGGTGTCTGTTGATGGCCCTGGCATCCAGGAATCATACAGCAATGTCGCTTGCGAATCGGTCGAATCGTCTGTCACCTCCTTCTTCCCACATACACGCGTCAAGTCAACGGTGGTCAGAGACGGCGATAATATAACAATGTTCCAGAAGGGAAAGATGATTAAGTTAAAACTTGCACAACCTTTATGGTATGAGAAGGCATTGGGGATCAAAGACGTTGCCAACAGCGTGCTTGCACCAATGCCATGCAAAATCCTAAAGAACGAAGTAAATGAAGGCGACGTAGTAGAAAAGGATGCCGCCCTGGTTGTGTATGTTGGACTTTTTTCTATTCCCGTTGGACATTTACTAACGGATATTTAATTAGGATTGAGAGTATGAAGATGGAGACAATAATTAGGTCACCTCAACGTGGAACAGTTGCCAAACTAGTTCATAAGCCCGGGGTATGCACACCTTTCTGCTAACAATTATTATACGAGACTAATCATGAGAACGAACAGGACATTTGCAAAGCTGGCACCGTGCTGGTCCTATTTGAAGAGACGGAATGAAGCCTCTGACGAAATAGTCAGCTTGGCTTGGCAGATGATGGATGCCCCTTTACAAATTCGATATGAATAACGAAATACAATTTCAATTTAACATTCATACATCGATACTAGGGTGGCTGTGTTACTAAACTGTAAATATTAGATGGGTCGCGCAGCATATGTATATGTCACGTCTCGAAGGGGAATGAATATAAAGAATATAAAGAAATCATGTTTAAATTATGAGTTGTTTAAGCTGAATAAACGATTCTAATGATGCCACATAAACAAATTTATTTGATTAAAAATATAGTAAGAGAGAAGCCAACTCAACTATAGACATTCATTAATGCTAATAATATTAAAACTTTTAAATCAATTTATAGGTAATACTAATATTAGCCTTTTAAGTTAACTACTTATTATTATTAAATAACCATTATAAAGTAGACATTCTATTTTAAATAAACGGCTAATATTAGAACCACTACTAAAAATATTAAAAATAACACATCTACCACCGTACTGTTTTGCATTTCTACAAAGTTCTAGCATACCCTTTTCTAAGAACACGTAAGTAGGAACACTTTTTATATAACGTAGGTCATGGCCTAAAGGGCTACATGGCCTAAAGGGCTATTCTAGAAACCACACCAAAATCCACGTCATGTGACTAAAATTAAAACCTTAATAACTTTTTAATTAGCTGTTATAAAGCTTAATCCTCTTATATTATTACTCTTTATATATGCATCTAATATATGTAAAAACGCTAGTAGCGCTAGTCTTATTTTACAATAAATATTAAGGTTTTAACTTTTACTATATAAAATATTAAGGTTTTAACTTTTACTATATAAAATATTTATATAGTAAAACTTAAACTATAAATAACTCTTTAATAAGACTAGCTTACATTATTACAAATTAAACCCTAATGTATGCATATATAAAGAGTAATAATATAAGAGGATTAAGCTTTATAACAGTTAATTAAAAAGTTATTAAGGTTTTAATTTTAGTTACGTAACGTGGATTTTGGTGTGGTTTCTAGAATAGCCCTTTAGGCCATATAGCCCTTTAGGCCATGACCTACGTTAGTAATATTAAATTAAGCCTATTTTACCTATATACCATATAGTAATATGATATATATTAATTTGTATTGTAGATAATAAGAAGAAAGAAAACCTATTAAAATTTTATAAATAGAGTAAAAGATGTTAGTGAGTTATAGTAATATAAGGTATAGATAGTTTCGGGGGTTATAGAAAGTAGTACACTAATATTTTAGAGATATCTAGTAACGTAAGTCGTGGCGTAAGCGGCGACATGGCGTAAGCGGCGATTCTAAAAACCCCACCAAAATCTAGGACAGAACCACCAAACTACTTAACAATGCTTATACTAGTAGAATGGTTAGACGGAGGAATAAACAGGCTCAAGAGCTTGATTTACGACTTTCTGAAGCAGTTCTAGGAATTCAAACTAGAAAATACAAATCTGCTCAAGCTGCAGCTATTGCTTTGAACCTAAGACCTGATACTGTGCGGAGACGCGTACGGGGTATACTAACGCGAACAGAAGCGCGTCAACAACAACAACTCCTTTCAAAAAACCAAGAAAAGACACTTTTAAAGTGGATTAAAGAGCTTACTATAAGCGGCTACGCTACTAGCTATCGGATATTACGTGAGGTTGCAGATGAAGTCCGGTTAAATAAGTGTCGCGTTTTTCGCGTTTTTCAGCCTCAACAACAACACCTACAACAACAACCTCAAACTTAACAACTACAACCTCAAATACCT